GGGACCCCACGGCGCCCCTACTCAGCAGGAAGTAGCCAGATCTGAACGGACGCCCTATACCAAGAGGATCGGAATGTTGGGCCCGCAGGATGAAGGGGGATCGGGAGGATCCAACCAAGGTGGATCGGACCCTCCACCTTGTCACCCTCGCCTCGGGACTTTCCGGCCACCAGCGGACCGCGGAGGCCTCGTCATCAGGGGGAGAGAGGACCTGCGGGGAAACCGGGACCGCACCCCACCCAGACCCCATATTAGGGCATGGGCAGTTACCGCCCCACACCGATTCCACCAGTAAGGTGCCTAATACCTATCACCCGGTGCGGACACAACCCCTTCCCCTCCCCGCAAAGAGCTCGCCTGCACCCCCTTAGGGCGCGACTTCCCGTGCCCGTCCCCCTCCCCTGCGGCCGCGGAGCCCCGAGAGCCCGAGAGCCCGAGAGCCCCAGAGCCCGTCCAGCAGAAGCCTGCCTCCTCCCACCTTCGCCGGCCTCTTTCATTTCACTACCAACCGGATCCAACCTGACAACACACAAGTTTCAAATAAACTGTATTTGAAAATTTAGTATTTACACTTATTTTACATTTATATAGTTTTAATTTTGAGTAATAATTTTCTTTGTATTTTAAGTTCCTAAAATACATTTAAGAAAAAATTCATTTGAGAGAGAGACAGAGCACAAGAGCACAAGCCGGGAGGAAGGAGGAAGGGAAGGGAGGAGGGGGAAGGTGCAGAGGGAGAGGGAGAAGCAGGCCCCACGTGGGGCTCGATCCCAAAACTCAGGATCATGACCTGAGCTGTAGGCAGATGCTTCACCAACTGAGCCACCCAGGAGCCCCACTCCCTCTGGTTTTAAGATGGAAAATATTGGCTGAAACAAGACACTAAGCTTTGGGCCAACTTATGTTTTCAGTTTGTGCTTGTTGAAATGCTTAATGGATAAGCTGTAGGACTCTGACTGGCTATTACCAAATTTGTTTTTTTTTTTTTTTTTACAGGAGACTCATTTTATTTTTTTTTTTTATTTATGATAGTCACACAGAGAGAGAGAGAGAGAGGGAGAGGCAGAGACACAGGCAGAGGGAGAAGCAGGCTCCATGCACCGGGAGCCCAATGTGGGATTCGATCCCGGGTCTCCAGGATCGCGCCCTGGGCCAAAGGCAGGCGCCAAACCACTGCGCCACCCAGGGATCCCCGCTATTACCAAATTTGAATGAAAAAATGGTTTGAAAGAAAAATATGTTGCAGTTTTAAAAGAAAGATTCTTGTGTTTATTTTTAAATTTAGTTTATTTAATCACACATTGGTAGAAAAGTTGAAATTACAGGAAAAATATATTTTTCCTAAATCCTTTTTTTTTTAAAGATTTATTTATTTATGATAGACTGAGAGAGAAAGAGAGAGAGAGAGAGAGGCAGAGACACAGGAGGAAGGAGAAGCAGGCTCCATGCCAGGAGCCTGATGTGGGACTCGATCCCGGGACTCCAGGATCGCACCCTGGGCCAAAGGCGGGCGCCAAACCGCTGAGCCACCCAGGGATCCCCTTTTCCCCAAATCCTTAAGAGGAAGTTCTCCCTTGATGCCCTATTCACCCCTTGTAGTGTATTAATTTTCCAACGGCGACAGGTGTGTTACACTTAGATAGGAAACATCCCTGTTTGGTTATCCAAACACTTTCTTTGGCTCTGCCATCCTGCACCAAGCCGCTCCCCACTGCATAGACTCCTCCTTGGCTCACCCCAGCTCTTCCTTTTTTTTTTTTCTTTTTTTAAAAAAAGATTTTTATTTATTTATTCGTGAAACACACACAGAGAGGCAGAGACACAGGTGGAGGGAGAAGCAGGCTCCCTGTGGGGAGCCCAATGCAGGACTCAATCCCAGGACCCCGGGGTCACACCTTGAGCCAAAGGCAGACAGATGCTCAACCGCTGAGCCACCCAGGTGGCCCTATGCATCTTGTTAACTTTTTTCTAGAGCAAACAGTGTAAAGCAAACTGGGTACACTGGATGGGTCAGAGAAATTGTTTTATAGTCAGAGTGCATTTATACCATTTACACAAATCTGTATCAGTTATGCTCCCTGACTTATTGTTATCACAGTAATCAATCAATAATTACTTCATTTTATACTAAGTCCAAGCACAATTTAATAAAATGTAATGCCTGTCTGGAATAACCAGCTTCATTCGTCTAAGAGAAAAAGTACATTATTTAATATTCTTTTTCATATTTAGAGGAAAAACTATTAATCAAATATTTTGGCATTTGATAAACACTTTCAGTGTGGCTTAGTTACTACAGATGCTAAGATGTAACCAGATTTTTATTTCCAACAGATGGCCTGGAGCACCAAGCCTAGGGGCTCCTCTGCTGGGCTCAGGCAGTAGTGGCATCACCCACACCCGGTGACCAGTGTCAGAGCCTCCGAGTGCACTTGGATCGACAGCACAGCAGGGTGACAAGACTTCAGGCAGAAGGCAGGCAGAGGTTACCCCATGGAAAGGGAGAAGAGAGCCCAAGGGAGACAAGAAGGGAGTGGAGGAGGAGAAAGAGCAAAGCAAGAGAAAAGATGCATGGCATGGTTATGGTAACTTGAGACTGCAATCGAAGGACGTATAGGAAACAGAACGAATGTTCTAGAAAGCACCAGAACATACCTCACACATAACAATACACATGGTGATATTTTTATTGTTTAGGTTTTTACATTTCTAAATCAAAAGAAAATGCATTCTGACCTATGACCCATGGTTGAGTCGGAGGAGGTGGGGCTTTGGTTGGTTTTCAGGGCCACAACTCAGTGGCCTCCTGCTCATTCAGAGAGCAGCCTCTCCTGAAGTGATTACAAAAGCAAACTCTCATCTTGCGTTTTCATTTGTGGCTGCATCAACTGACACGAGAGAGAGGGAAACACATTGCCTCACATTGCCTTGAGTTTATGCAATGTATTTAAAGCCTTTTAGCTAACACAGCTCTTAAATCTTTACATCACTCTGAGGTAGATCGAAGATCTGAAGCTTTACCGCCTCCTCTACAAAAACAAAAGCCAAAGCAAAACACAGAATTAAATCAAACACACACAAAGTTGAGAGTAGGGTGCTTGGCCTTAGCCATCCTGATTTAATCCGGTGTAACAGAACGAAGTCAGTTCCACGAACTGTAAACTGGGGACCGTGTCTGGAGTTGTCCCACCTACAAGCCAGTTCCATTTGGTCAATTGAAACCACATTTCCCGCTGGTCCCCTGAGTGCAAAGCCGTAAAGATTCTGCTTTGGTGAGCCTTTTAGTTCTCTTTATTTGACTACTTCCTTTTGCACTGAAGATCAGTGCCTAATTGCTGCTGTCTCTTGACATCATTATTTTGGGGCATCAACTTGCGCCCGAATGAGTACCTGGGCCACAGGTGGGGACGCAGCCTGAGCTTCTGGGCAGAGCCCTCCTGTCATCCCATCCGAAGGGCGCTTTGTGGATCCTGCCATTCTGGCTCTTTGTGTGACACCCTCAGGTTCAGGAGCCTGGAAAGCGGGGCGCAGTGTGACAGGCACTGCGAGGAGAGAGACATGGGCAGACGACGCATTTCTGGCCCTGAAGGCACTTCACAGGGCTCATAAAATCATCTGTTCCTTCTTTGGAAAAGTGGGTTTCCCTGGCTTTTCTATGTTCTAGTGCGTATTGTTTTTCTGGCTTCTGTTTCTTTTCACTGTGGTGTTGTTTGCTCATTATGCTTTCAAATATTGCCCTAAATAAACCCCAGGGTGTTGCAAATCTGTATTTCCCTCAGCATAGACTGTGCTCAGTTAGCCAATGATTGAATATTCCACTGCCTTTCACAACAGAATAAGCAAGACTTTCTAAGGTGAATTTGTTTTTATGAGGCACTTCAAGTCAACTCTGGTTTCCTGGCCCAACAAGAAGTGAAATTTCCCCCAGAAATACAGCAGGGTTGGTAAATCCTGGGCGACTGCAGACTCTCGGGGCCAAATGTGACAGCAGGGGAAGAACAGGAAATATTCCCTGGAGCAAAAACGATTGACACACAAATAACAAAACATGCGGTTTTCCAGACTCACTAAGTATTGAGAGACAAAAGTGTGAGCAAAACCCATTAGAGCAGGCAGGGGGGCGCCGGAAGTGGCCACTGGGTTATGTGTTTTTCCGAAGCCATGCCGTCATCCTGGCATTTCGCATTTTGTTCTCCAGATTTTTGTTCTTTATTGTCTGTAATTTGGCATGGACTGTGAGCCTCTGGTGCTCCTCCAACATGTTGCTGAAAAACTGCTGCAGCTGAAAGCACCAAGGGACGGTGGGTCAGTGCACGCTCACGTCCCATTGAGGCAAAGTAAGGCAAGGTCAGGCTGAGTAGCAACAGGCTTCTGCCCATGGCCTCTTGTGTGCCCCGAGGAGACCGTGGCTGAGAACATGTGCTGGCGACCACACCTAGCCTCAAGAGTAGATGCAGACCAGAAGCCACAGGGAGTGGGAACTGCACCTGCTTTATTCCCTGCTCTGCCCCCCAGGCACAGAGTAGGTGCTCGGTAAAGACCTAGGGAATGCGTGTTGGATATTACGCAAGATTTGTGGACAGAGACGCAGTGAGACTGTCTCTTATCTGGCAAGAAGCTTTGCAACTGCCAAAGCTCAAAAGTGGCACATAACATCTGTGCTTTTACAAGTGTGATGCTTTATTTAAGAACATTTAGATAGTGGGTTTGCCCACCGGCTAGATTCCTTCACTGATTCACCTCAAGCATTTAGTCATGGGAACATCTGGCACAATATTATGTATAAGCCAGACCCCAATGAACTAATAAGTCATAATCTAAAAAATCTATTTCTATGTCATTGGATTAGAACTTATTTTTTTCTTTCAACTTTTTATTTAAATTCTAGTTAGTTAACATACACTGTAATATTGGTTTCAGGAGTAGAATTTAGTGATTCATCTTGTAGATTTAACACCTGGTGTTCATCGTAACAGGTGCCTTCCTTAATGCCCATCCCCCATTTAGCCCATCCCCCCCACACCTCCCGCCATCAACCCTCAGTTTGTTCTCTATTGTTAAGAGTCTCTCATGATTTACTTTCCTCTCTCTTTTTTTCCTTACCATATGTTCATCTGTTTTCTTTCTTAAAGTCCACATGAGTGAAATCATACCATATGTGTTGTTCTCTAACTTATTTCGCTTAGCATAATCCACTCTGGCTCCATTCATGCGGTCGCAAATGGCAAGATTTCATTCTTTTTGATGGCTGAGTAATATTCCATCACACACACACACACACACACACACACACACACCACCTCTTTTATCCATTCATCAGTCAGTGGACATTTGGGCTCTTCCCACAGTTTGGCTATTGTTAATAATGCTGTTATAAACATTGGGGTGCATGTACCCTTTGGATCTGTATTTTTTTTATCCTTTGGGTAAATGTCTAGTAGTGCAATGGCTGGACCATAAGGGAGTTTTATTTTTAACTTTTTGAGGAAACCACAATTTTCCTGGATTAGAATTTAGAACATGAGATGACAGTGTACCTATACCAGCTCACAAAATGTCACTTAAACCCTAATGTACTTGAAATTGAGAAGTAATAGGGCCATCTAACCTAATTACCATGTAAAAGAAAAGTAAGTTTCCAGGACAGAGTAGGCTAAGGAACCAGGAACCAGTCTCCAGCCCTCTCCCACACCTGCCCACATCTGCCTGCAGTGGGAACCTCCCACCCACAGCCCTCTACAGTGCAGGTGTGTGGGAGGGGATTTGGGGTTTGTGGGATGGTCGGTGGGGCTTTGCGTGTGCTGGAGAGCGTGAGGCCAGGCTCCAGCCCGGTGAGTATGCAGACCCAAGCAAGAGCTGCAGAGAGTGTATAGTCTCCGTGCTGCTCTAGAGGCAGAAAGGACTAATGTAACTTTTCATTTTCTTTTTAATAATTATTTTCGATATGATCACGTGAACATATAGATCATGGCAGGATTCTTGGTGATTAAAAAGTTTTTGACAAGGATATTCATAGTAGCTAATTTACTTGTTTTCAAAATGGCAAAAATGCTACCACTGCTAAACATATTTTTACATTATTTTTTTAAAAAGAAACTATCAGTGATTATAGAGTTTTTTGGAACTTTGGGGACTGCTAAATTTTTATGCACCTCGTTCATTCATTAAACAGCAAAAACACCTCACCAGGTTCTGTAGACACAGAGATGACCTGATGCTCTTCAGGAGATGCCAACACAAACTCAGCCTCTGTTCTGGAGCTTTCCTTCCTTCGGGCATGTTTGGGTATGCCCTTCACTCTCCTGTCCACGGAATCCCTGATAAATCAGGTCCCTGAAGCTCAATCTCAAGCAGGCCAAAACCCACACAGAGATAATTCCTTTAGGAATTACTGATTCTTCCTCTCTCATAATAATAACTACATAGCTGACTGCTTCTCTCTTTTTTATTTTGGCTCAGGATCAAACTTCAGGACTCTGTGACCTACATGTTTTTTGTTTTATTTGCTGGGGCAGAGGAGTTGATTTTCCTTTCCTTTTCTTTTTTTTTAAACCAGGTTGATTTGTGAAGTGGATGGAGCAAGCTCCTATTCCATCTCCCTGCTCCAAAAAGCCATGTGATATATTATTGGATGGAGAATGTATTAGATATTAAGCTGTTAACAACAGATACCACACCTGATCTCAGCCAAAAGGCCAAGAAGCAATTGATTTTCCTGTCTTATTTACACAGGCCCTTTCTGGTTTGTATTAATATAGTTCTGGGCCACATGTTTAATTTGCACTCATGCATTTTTTTTCAAAAACATTTACTGAAATCAACTGAGATGAAATTGATGGACAAAAAACTGAATTCTCTTGAAGTGTACAAGTGAGTGAATTGTGATCACTGTATACACCCGTGAAACACATAGCCACGGTCAAGATACAGTAAAGTACACTTCCACCACCCACAGATTCCTTCGCAATCCAGCTCTCCCTCTATCCCAGGCAATCACCAAGCTGCCTTTTGTCACTAGAGATGATATCTGGCATTTCCTAGAATGTATCTGTTTTTTTTTTTTATCTCAGCATAATCATCTTGAGATATATCCATGTTATTACACAAATTCTTTTTTTTTAATTGTGGGATAGTATTCCCTGGTGTGGATATATTATAACATTTTCCTTATCTATTCACCTATTGATGGATGTTTGGATGGTTTCCAGATTTTGGCTAATGTGAATAAAGCTGCTGTGAACCTTCATGTACAAGTCTTTGCATGGATATAGTTTTAATTCCTCGAGTAAAAACCTAAAAATAGAATGGTTAGGTCATATGTGTCTAAATAACATTTTAAAACACCGTCTATTTTCCAGAGTAGTTGTACCATGTACCATGTACCTTCTCACCCAACGGCAGAAAAAGAGAGTTCTGGTTGCTCAAGTGTTTGCCAGTGTTTGTTGGTGTAAATCTGTCTCATTTTATCTGCTACTAAGTGTAGAGAGGTTGTGTTTAATAGATATTTTTTTTGGCCCTTTAGCTTGCTTTCTGGTTATAGGATCCCCTTTTTCTTTCCAAAACTACTCCTCCCCTATCCCAGGGCCTGTGGTTTGGGTGGGGCTGGCTCCAGAGTGGGCACGTGATCCACTCCCACCGCAGTGATACAAGTGACCCAAGTAGGACCACAACCAGAGTCATTCCACAGGGCTGGGACTTGAACTTGGGTGAGCAAGGACTCTTCCTTCTGCAACTGAGGGCACTGAGGATGACATAAGCCTGGAGCCACGTTTGCCTCCTGTGGAAAAATCCAGCCTAAGAAGAAATTCAGCCCAGGAGAAAGCAGAGCCTAGAAATGGCAAGCTCTGGGGGTGCCTGGCTGGCCCAGTTGGCTGCGCGACTCTCAATCTCACGGTTTGTGATTTGGAGCCCCACACTGGGTGTAGAAATGACTTTAAAAATAAAATCTTAAAAAAAGTAAAAGAAATAGCAAGCCCCTTGTTAGTTTCTAGAATATAGGTATGACTAAAACATGGTTTCCCTCCTCAGGTTGCTCAGGATAGCCTCAGGCAGTAGACACATTACACACCCATGATATAGGTATTCACAGGAGATCGGGAGCATGCAGGAGGAGAGGGTGTAAATCAGTTAATTGAAAGATTCCTAGAATAGGTGGTTGGAAGCAGGGTCTTAAAGGATAACTTGGACAGCCAAGGATAGGCATGGTGAAGTCACCCAAATCAGAAGGTAGAGTGTTTCCAAAACCTGGAAAATGTGAAACAACACGACAATTTAGGAAAATCTGTAAGAGGAAAAGTATTTGGGAGTGTCTCTCATGTCCTCCTACACTCAGTGGTGAGGCAGGCAAAAGATGAAGCCAGAGAAGCAGACAGGGGCCAGGTTATAATGAAAAGATTTAAAATGTCTTCTAAAAATTCAGATGAGTTACTGAAGCTTTGACAGCAGGGCAAGGACTGGCAGCAAGATGAGGGCTGGGAATAGAATGAAGAACCATTTCCTGCTCACAGTGAAAATAACACCAACAGGAGCATGGAATATAATAATTCAAAAAGCCTGTTGTTTTTAATTTCAGCAACTCCAAATTACATTAAAAATGGCTTCTAAGTTATCATTATAATTCACAATATCCTCAGTACTTACCTCTGTGATCTGTAAATCTGTACTTATGGTTCTCCCTATTATATACATTAGAGTAACCAGTGATTGTGTTCCATACCTGCAAAGCAACAAGATGCTAATCAGGAGCAGAAAACGTTTTGCAAGATAAAGCTATACTTTATATAGCAGGTAAATGCTAAGTGCACAGCCCCCATTGACTGCTATCTCACAAATGTAAGCAGAATCATGTACGAACTAGTTTAGCTTCACAATTTAACAGGAAATCTATTATCTGGAAAATTTTATCAGTCATAAGGAAATATTTATACAGTTTAATATCAATTTGTGTACACATAGTTCTGAAAGCTTTATTTAAATATAAAAAGCTCTTCTTAAAAACAACTGTTTTTATCTTTTAAATGAGGTGGTTAAAATAGATGTCATGTACCTAAAACTAAGACCACTTATATTGGTTAAGTACATATGCAAATTATGCCCCTTAAAAAACTAATTAATATGGGATCAGTTTCAGAAACTCTGGCTAACCTACTCTGAAAGCTTAAATTTTGTATTTGTATATGCTTTTTGGAGAGAGGATCCATGTCTTTGAATATTCTCAAAATGTTGGTGATCACTGAAGTGGTAAGTGTTCTAGCTCTACTTCTCCTCCCTCAAAGAGGCATAGGGACTGAAATGTCCCCTCCAGCTTAGCGTCCTTAATATCCAACAAGGATCATCCAGAAAAAAACCATGAAACACTGTTATGGAAAAACACCAGATACATACCTGCCCAAAGCGTTGCTGTGGTTAAAAAGGTAAATAAAGACTTTTGGATGCATTAAAGAAGAAAGAAAATTAAAACAGCGTTAATGTTCTGGACGGAACAAGAAAGGATTGCACTGCCATTCTGTTCTATTGATTATTGATAGTTAATACACACTATTTTTTTTTTTTACACACAATTGACTTACTTGCAAAATGTATCCTTGAAATTAAAAAATCACAGGAGTCAATGCTGGCATAATATCCAAACAAAGGTGAGAGAAAACAGTGCTTTTATTCTTTTTTAAGTTCTGAGCTCTAACGTGAGCTGTTTCTAGTTGAGCAAAGCAAAGGACAAGAGAGAGTCTCCATATAAACACGCTTGTTTCTATAGGGAAAGAGGACTCATTTCTTTTTTTTAAATTTTTTTTATTGATTTATGATAGTCACAGAGAGAGAGAGAGAGAGAGAGAGGCAGAGACATAGGCAGAGGGAGAAGCAGGCTCCATGCACCGGGAGCCCGACGTGGGATTCGATCCCGGGTCTCCAGGATCGCGCCCTGGGCCAAAGGCAGGCGCCAAACTGCTGCGCCACCCAGGGATCCCCAAGAGGACTCCTTTCTATAGGGAAAGAGCTACTCCTTAGCTCCCCATTTTTATTGGCCAGGTATTAAAAGTGTGAAACAACTCAAGAAATCTGGCAAAATTTGAAAGGAAAAAAAAAAGTAGAAAATACCTAAGGCCCAAATGTGTGATTTTCTACCAGGCAGAAGAGGAACACTACCCTGAAAGGCAGATCTGGGTTTGAAGTGACCTTGGACAACTCGTAATTTGGAAAGACAAGACTAACATACAGTGAGAAGCATCGTTCTGGAGAGGAAAGGAGATGCTGTGTGTTGAAACACCTACCAGAGTTTCTGGCACACTTTGTCCCTTCCTGTTCTCTCAAGATTCAAGAGGAGGTTTTTTTTTTTTTTTAGACATATTTATTAATAAGAGAGAGAGAGCATGAGTGCATGTGTAGGGGGGTGAGGGGATAGGCAGAGGGAGAGAGAGAATCCCAAGCAGCTCCAAGCTGAACACGGAGCCCCATGTGAGGCTCGATCCCAGGACCGTAAGATCATGATCTCAGCCAAAATCAAGAGTCAGACTCTTAACCAACTAAGCCACCCAAGCACCTCCTCTTGAGGAGGTATTTTTGAGACAGAGAAGATCTGCCCCTCTGGTTGAGACAGCAATCACCGAAATATTACTGAACAAAAATAGATACATTCCAAACAGTTTATCCTGCCAGTGGTCAGATACAGGCTAATTAATACAAAGACCAGAGCCAACCTGCATCAGTAGAGTTACTGTTTTAAAAAATTGGTAACATTCTATGCTAGTGTGGGCACAGGAATTTGGGCCACTCTCATCTGGCTCACCTTCTGTCTCTCTCCTTTCTCGAATTTCTCCTGCCTTCCTATTCCTTCCCCTGCCACATTTGATTTCCTGTGGCAAACATGGCCAGCAGGCAGGCATGGGAACACCAAAGTATCCAGGCAGATCCAGTGACAGGTGGTGGGCATGGGCTGTTCAGAGCTTGGGTGCACCTCTCCATAACACCTGACTTCTCTCCATTTGCTTATGCACCTATTTCTCCATTCGGCTCTGCGTTCCCCATCATGAAACACAAGAGAATGGAAGTGGGAATGGTGTAAGCTTTCATACTAAGGACTTTAGCCAATGTAACAGTATTTGAAGAAGAAATCAAGTGTTTGGTGAAAAAGGCAGTAAAATTCCTTTTGGGTCAGTTGAGTTTGAACCTGATCATACCCTTATATTCTATATTCTAATAAAACTAGGGTTTTCCTGGAGGCTGTGAGGCCTACATTACTTTTAAGAAAGCCAAAAACACTTGATGAGAATGATAGGGCACAAACACTGTTTCTCCTGCCTACATACAGTAAGTAACAACTCATACAAATTCTATTCTTCATCTCCACCCACACATTCTTCCATGAGACCTAGCCACAGATGCATGTCCAGATGCATTTTCTCTAACCTTCAAGATGTCTTTATTGGTCACTGGAAGTTCATTCACTGAGATCAGGGCTCAAAAGATCATCTTTGGCCCAGTGATTAACTTAAACACCCCACAGCAACCAGCACAGTACTCTGAACATGGGAGTGAGGGGCAGAACCAAACCAAAGTTGTTTTAAATACAAATATTCTCAAATATAGCTTCAGATTAGACTTCCTTGGAAGCACTGGGGGCCTGGGTGAGGGGAGCAGATGTTCCTGATCTGCTGTGGGCAGCTCCCTCACCTTAACACTTGACCAGCCCTCTCTTGTCCAGTCCAGAGCCCTGAGTTCCAGCCATGTCCTGTGACCGGTCCCAAGGCAGATGCTGGGTCCTGCCCCCAGGCATTTCTTGGTGTCCTCTCCTCCATGCGAAAGATAATTTTTTTTCAACTGCTTGTTCAGATCCCACTCAAATCCCATTCTCCTCTTTGGCTCCTCAAACCTTCTCCAGCTCTTCCCGACAGCATTTATCAGATCCCATGTCCTCATCACCTTATATCCCTGACAAGAGCTTAAACTAACCAGACCTTGGCCTGGGAAAACTAGAACATTTTATTATAAGAAAGAACCTTGGAACTGATCAAATATAATACATTTCATTTTATACAAAAACAAACCAAAGCCAAAATGTTAACTAAGAGGCCAATAATAAACAGTTATTCTAGTAACATTCCAGATGAGAGTGTTGGAGAATTCAGTTTCTCATATGTTTCTCTCCCAGAACAAGTGATCTCCTGGCAAAGTGACACCCTGTTTACATTACATATACGGTAAGTAGCAGGATTATGGCTATAAGGTATAGGAAAAGGGGCACGGAAAACTCTAGATTTTCTTTTGCAGGGCTCCTTGGGGTCTCTTTGAGGCTAGCATATATTATGAGTTTGCAAAAAGTGAAGGTTAACACAGTTCCCAACTGATGGGGTTGCTGTCTTTCTTGTTCACAGAAGGCTTCTCAGCATGTTCCATGAATAATGCTCAGTGGAACATACTGGAAAAACACTGAATTCATAGCTAACTGGCTAGTAATCAGTCACATTTCAGGAAGTTCAGAAAAGTCCTTTTCAAGTAATTAACATAAAAGTTAATTTGTCAGAGGCATTTGTGTATTCATCCTTTCATTTTGTCTTTCTTTAAAAAATATTTTATTTATTTATTCAGGAGAGAGAGAGAGAGGCAGAGACACAGGCAGAGGGAGAAGCAGGCTCCATGCAGGGAGCCCGACGTGGGACTCCAGCCCAGGTCTCCAGGATCACACTCTGGGCTGAAGGTGGCGCTAAACCTCTGAGCCACCTGGGCTGCCCTTGTCTTTATTATATGAAGACTGGTAACATGCTAGCTTTCATGTCAAATATAACTGTTTACATAAGTGATGATTCAAATGTTCTGATGTACAACAAATTAAGTAAACATTCTTGTGCCATCTTTAGTATATATAACATTTTAATTATTAACCTGAACTTTTATTTCCTTCTAACAATCCATATGTATCATCACTGTTCATTCAATCATTTGCAAACTTCAGCAAGACTGATCAATATTACAATTGCTATTAAATAAACGAACAGAAAGTAAATGAAAATAAATGTATTAGATGTAGAAAGCAAACCTATTTGAGTCTGAAAGACTTTTTGTAGCAGAGTGTATGAGAGAGGAGTGAACGGAGATGAATTTGCTATAAATAGGCATCTATTTTATGAGCACAGCATCTTGTTGATGAGGGATTAAAATATTCAAGCCATGATTAAAAGTTCATACATCGGGATACCTGGGTGGCTCAGTGGTTGAGTATCTGCCTTTGGCTCAAGGCATGATCCCGGAGTCCTGGGATTGAGCCCCACGTCGGGCTCCCCATGGGGAGCCTGCTTCTCCTTCCTCTGCTTAGGTCTCTGCCTCTCTGTGTCTCTCATGAATAAATAAAATATTTTTAAAAATTCATACATCTATAATTCTAGGAGCTTCTTGAGGTTTAAAAGACCCATTTTGAGTAAAAAAAAATGGAGAATTTAATCCATTTAATACAGTTACATACATCATTGAAATAAATCACTGCACATCACTTCGCCGCCGTTTGGCTAAAATCAGGTATAAATAACCTATTACACAATGGACCTTCCAGACACTGTTGCCAACATGTTCCTGTTCTCTAAACACAGAAAAAGAAAGGTTTGTCTGAGGAATAAAAGTTAGAGCACACTAAAAATCACTTAACTTGGGAGCAGTCTTTCCCATGAGCTGCTCAAAGCTATTTTGGGGGCTTGGTCGGCCCGGGTGCTGTGTGTGGTCAAAGGGGCTGGTCCACCTGTGGGAGCAGCGCCAGCCAGCTGAACTCTCCACAGTGATGACCATGTTCTACACGTGAGCTGTCCAGCGTGGCCACATCATGCTCTTAGAACAGGACTAGTGCAACAGCGGAGCTGAATTCTAAATTCTATTTAATTTTAATCAATTCCAATTTAAATTGCAATATCCACAAGTTATCGTATTGAGCAATGCGGCCTTAGATACTTTTCAAATCAGGTGTCAACTGCTTTCATGTTAAACCGTATCAGGCTTACCTGGGGAGTTAGCAAAAGGTGCAGATTTTCTTCCTTATTTTGGCAGATTCTGATTTTAAAAGGGGTAGGTGGGCTTGAGAGTTTTTAGGTTACTGAGACACTCTAAGTGACTTCTACTGTTCTGCCTGGATTCACCTTGCCTAGGGGAGAGGCACCACGTCACTTTGAGCCATGGTGGCAATAAGTACATTCTAGAATTAGGACATTCTAGGTGCCAGGCACCACTAGATACTCAGCCTGACTCAGAACCGTGAACCTCTGTCTTCCTCAGAGCCCAAAGGTGCAAAGGAAGGACTAGAGGATATCACAGCTTGTAGCAATTACAAGTTGGGCCCTCAGGCAAATTATAACACATTTCTTTTTTTAAAAAGTATTTTTATGTATTCATGAGAGACACATAGAGAGAGGCAGAGACACAGGCAGAGGGAGAAGCAGGCTCCCTCTGGGGAGCCTGATGCAGGACCCGATCCCAGGACCACAGGATCATGCCCTGGGTCACAAGAAGACGCTCAACCAACTGAGCTACCCAGGTGCCCACATAACACATTTCTTAAAGGAGCTACTCTCTCAATATTTTAATTCCAGAACCGCTCCTAGATTGTTCGGTAGGAAGCGCAGGAAGAGAACAGTCCAGGACGGTTGCTGAACTGAATGGCCCTGGGCAATAGGACCACAGCAGCAGGAGGGCAGGTGGCCTCCTCAGGCAGAGCCAGGCACTCAGACCTAGAAGGGGCTTCTGTTACAAACTCCAGGGAGACAGAACAGAAACAAAGAGACAACTCTGTGAGGCTGGAATCTCTAAAATTTCAGGGAACAAGGGGATCAATGTAAATAATTCTCATTCCTATCCTAACTCCCAAATTTCTAGGAGGACTGAGGAAGGAGGGTATTATATTTAATGACTTAAGCAAAAATGGAAGACACCATTTACTCCCAAGGTCTGAGGAATCTGAGGAAATTTAAGCAATTCAAAGGCCACTGGAAGCAATGAATTTAGAATGATAGATAATTTAACACTGGACATAAGGTGAATTTTCTCAATACGTGACTAGGCTAAGTGTGTTCCACTGATGAACCAGAAACACAGTACTGTACAGATGAGCTTTTATCTACATATTGTAAGTTTATTATTTAAAAGCACAATTTTTTGGTGATATAAAAGAGTTTAATAAATGTTAACAAAAGAAAAACATTCTAAGATTTTGCTCCCAGAAAGAGCCATATTCAGGGGCACCTAGGTGGCTCAGTTGGTTAAGCATCTGCCTTCGGCTGAGGTCATGATCCCAAGGTCCTGGGATCGGGCTCCGTATCAGGCTCCCTACTTAGTGAGGAGCCTGCTTCTCCCTCTGCCTCACCTTCTGCCATTCTACCTGCTTGTGCTCTTCTCTCTGTCAAATAAATAAATAAAATCTAAAAAAAGAGAGAGAGAGCCATATTTGTTTTGTTTTGTTTTTTGAGACTGGGGTGAGGGTGTTGGTGCATAGAGAGAGAAGGAGAGGGAGAAAGAATCTTAAGCAGGCTCCACGTTCAGTGCAGAACCCAATGGGGCTCCATCTCATGACCCTGAAACCATGACCTGAAGCCAAGAGCAGGATGCTTAATGGACTGAGCCACCCAGGCACCCCACATATTCACATTCAACATTTATATTCTAAATGTACTTGTTGTTCCAAAAGGATAACTTATTTACAAAAGGTATCTTCCAACTTTACAAGTGGTGGGACCTCATAGCAGATACTGTGTATCTATCTGCTAACTCTAGCATTTGTGAGTACTTGTAGGACATATTATTCTAGGCTTTCAGGAATATATGATTAAGTAATGCTCTGGAAAGACCAGCCATCAAGGACATGCTGTCTGATTTTTTCATGTGAATGTATATTTTACCCAACAGGGGGCTCTCAAGCAAACAGATTTAATCTTAAAAGGTGAGAAATATGAGGGACACCTGGGTGGCTCAGTGGTTGAGCGTCTGTGTGCCTTTGGCTCAGGGCATGATCCCAGGTCTGGGGATGGAATTCTGCATCGGCCTTCCTACAAGGAGCCCGATTCTCCCTCTGCCTGTGTCTCTGCCTCTCTGTGTGTGTCTCTCATGAATAAATAAATAAAATCTTTTTTAAAAATTTTTTTTTTATTTTTATTTTTTATTTATTTATGATAGAGAGAGAGAGAGAGAGAGAGAGAGGCAGAGACACAGGCAGAGGGAGAAGCAGGCTCCATGCACCCGGAGCCCAATGTGGGATTCGATCCCGGGTCTCCAGGATCGTGCCCTGGGCCAAAGGCAGGCGCCAAACCGCTGCGCCACCCAGGGATCCCCCCCCCTTTTTTAATTTATGATAAATAAAATCTTTAAAAAAGAAAGGTGAGAAATAAGAAAAGTTCCAGAATATAGAACTCGGATATGTGAAGAGGATCTGACAAATAACACATGAACAACACCCAGGCGGATATAGTGATGAACACTGCTGTCTTTTGAAATAGAGTGATCCACTTCACAAAATAAATGAATGGCTGGTAGATACTCATACCAGAAAAACATGACTTGCTCTACTCTGTATCTCAGGCAAAAGACTTTACTGGAGAAACTGAGGTAGGTGAGTATCCCAGGCAAATTCATTTTCGTACAGGAAGCCAAAAGTGAGGATATGGCTCACTTTCTCTTCCACAAATGAGACTAAATGCAAGAAAAAGAAACACTTTTCTGGTCAATGCAAAGGACTTTTGTGACCCCAGTGAGACTAAGGTTGAGCTTCTAGCACCAAACCAATGACCTGTCTGAAAGAAAGGTCTCATATTTCCTTCTTACCTTTTACTCACAGCTTGCCAATTGTTGACTAAAAAGTCCTTTGCAATGTACCGGCCAACTTCAGATGCTGCCACAACTTCAATTATATTTGTTTCATTAAAAGTGAAAGGAGATGCAGTAATGGCGTACTCCATGTATCTGCAAAAATGCATTTGCAGAAAATAAATACACAAACATCATCCAGTAGAAAGTGAATTTCAACAAGTAGACTTAAAATCCCACGTGGTGCTAAATCAATAGTGCACAAACGGATATTATTTTAGTTGCTATATCAGCACATGTTCTATTTTTCTCCCTTTGGTTTATTAATTGTATTCCTCTGCCATAATTTGAAAATAGGTTGACCATAATCACCTGTTAAGTATCCATGGGTTTTTACTGCAACTCATTGCATAAGCAAGTTGAATCCTTTCTTCTTCCTTTGTTTTATTAGCGTACATATTTAACAAAAAGTCCCATTCTTCATCACTTCCCAAGGCGATGCCATAACATAAAATCACACTTTTAATCGGAGAAGGTATTCTGTAAGGTAGAACATGCAATGATATTTCTCATAGTAGTTAAGTTACATGTTTATTTAGGTCATTATATTTTTAGAAGGATGTTACCCAGAAAAAAATGCTGAGGTCTCAGATATAAAGATCAGAAGTGGGGATGGAGAAAGTCACTTTGTGGAAACTGTCACTATTTCGTGACATTATTAATGTCACGAGAAAAGAACATCAGATTAGTTTAGAAACTAAAGAATTTTAAGAAATAAGGAAATTATAATAGTTCAATCAATGTATGCTAATAATTCAGCTTGAGCTCATATCATTTTTTTGAAGTAATCTCCACATCCAACATGGGGCTCAAACTCATGACCCTGAGAGATCACGGGTCAGATACTCTATCCACTAAGCCAGCCAGGTAACCTTCATTTCACGTCTTATGATCACATTTCTTAAGAGTCCATCTGAGGCGATGCATTAGAGGTAACACAATAAAACCAGAAAGACAATCGTGGTCTCAGCTCTCAGTGGGAATGCAAACAGCTCTCAGTGGGAATGAGCTTGTTGGACACACTTACATATAAATCACAATAACAACCATCAAAGAACAATCGAAATAAGACTCAAGATATGCAGAAGTGCTTGTTAGGGGCAATTAGCAGTCCTGGGTGACAACTCACTACATAAATTGAATCTATTGTCATTCACAGACCTACAGTAGACAAAGCAAAAACAGAAGAAAGAAAGAAAGAAAGAAAGAAAGAAAGAAAGAAAGAAAGAAAGAAAGAAAGAGAATAAAAGTTTACTTGAAAAAAAATAGGAGGAGAGACAGACTACCCAAGTGAAAACAAAACAATCCATCCCAGAATGAGAACATCAAAAAGGTAGAGAAATTATTGGTGTTGAAAGAGGACAGAAATAAGGGCAATCCAATACGAGTCTTACTCATTCTCTGGATGGTTTGCCCAGTTTTTGAAGAGCTCTCTTGACAACTGAAGACAGTCTTCAAGGCCCAACCAGCACGCAGTTTCAAAAAGTTTTTCCAGGGCTACTCTTAAAGGAAAGTGCAAAGAAAAACATTTTTTTTTTTTGCTATGTTAGCTACATTTATTTTCTTCCTGCCTCTGAGCCTATGTGTTTCATGACAAGATGGGTATTTTAAAATATCCTTCCAATAACATCAGGTTTTTTTTTTTTTTTTAAATAGCTTTTGTGGATGGCAAACTTATTTAAGGCTCAGGGAAATATTTGCTGAGATGCTCTCAGACACCAAATAAACTCGTTTAAGCCTGGTATTTTTTGAAAGTCGGAAATAAATTCCTGCCATCCCTCATCTCCCTCAAACACACACGGGAGCACACACACTCCACATCTGTTATCAATTTATTTTTCCTCCCTTTTACAGTAATTGCCTTATGGATAGAAAGAAAAAAGACTTGAGAGTATTTGATCTACTACATTTAAAAATGAAGTTCTTTCTCTGTACATGGAAAGGAGAGGGAACTGTTTATTTCTCTCTTTCCATGACGTGTTTCCCTTGCTTGAACTTCTGTTTCTTCCTCTACTCTGCTTGGTTATTATGTCCATGTCCAGAAAAAGAACAGAGATTTTTGTTTTGTTTTGTTTTGATAGCTGAGCAGGGATACCCAATTATCATTCACTACAAGTTCAAAAGAATACAGAGAACAATAATAAATCCAGAGAAGCAATGCTGTGAGGCATGTCTCTCTATGCTCCCTACTCTCTCAGACTTGGATTTAGAGGTAAAGGAATCAAACTGGCCATGAATTTCCAGGAAATGCAAAAGCCATATTGCAGTTGCTCTACCTTCCAATTGCAACCCAGCCAGGCCTGACCTTCCGATAAAGTGAAGTAGAATGTCCAAGGGTAGAGAACCTCTGAAAGATAGTTCTGAGTATTCATTTACACACTCCTCCCTCTCCCTACTCATCGCAAGTTGGATGCAGCAAGATGGAGTTCTATGTAAGTACTGCTAACTCCCCAAGGTTACTCTGAAGACAACTGGCCTTGGGATGCTATAAAGAGCAGATCATTTCAGTCCAATTTAGGAGAGCCAAGGATATGGCTGGCTAACACCTGTGCTGCCTCAGTGAGCACAATTTTGCCTTTCTGTTCATGCACCCAACTCATTTGCCCACTTACTATCCCAGCTAGTCCTCATTGTCTTCCGTCTACTGGTCTAGTCAACCCTATATCCTTCTAGTCACATGCTCTGGCACAGAAATGTCTCCCCTCCTAGAAGGATACTCTTGAGAGACAATAATTACATTTTATATATTTTGTGTTTCTTCTTGGTCTCATTGATTTCAGCTTCATGTCCACTAGAGCTGTAAACACAATCTCTGCACCACTGTAGATAACAAATTCCCTCTGTAAATCTAGAAGCTCCCCATCATTTGCAATATTTACTCATGTTCATGCACAAATGACTAAAATATTTCAGGCAATTTCTCACATCATATTTGTAGAATGAATGGTAGAATTGCTGTCACCAATAACATACAGAAAGGACGTTTTTCTATTGTGGCCTTCCTCTGCCTTCAATTCATTGGTACAGGCTAGTTTTGCTCAGTATACACACTTACAATCTCAACCAGTGGCCTAAGATTTGTGAGTATAGAGCTATAAATTCCTGTGGGTACATGCATGTGTTTTGCAGGTAAATTAAGATCCCAAACTAGTATTTTCTACTAGGATACATGTAATTTCACCAATCCTAAGGCTACTGTTCTCAAGTAACATAAAAAATCTCTCATTAAATCATAGGTATCAAGATCTTATTAATATGAGTCTGGAGGGATCCCTGGGTGGCGCAGCAGTTGGGCGCCTGCCTTTGGCTCAGGGCGCGATCCTGGAGACCCGGGATCGAATCCCACATCGGGCTCCCGGTGCATGGAGCCTGCTTCTCCCTCTGCCTGTGTCTCTGCCTCTCTCTCTCTCTCTCTCTCTCTGTGACTATCATAAAAAAAAAAAATATGAGTCTGGAGCTCCATCTATCAACCATTGAATCATTTTATTCAATTGTAAATTGAATTGAGTATAAGTTGAATATATATATATTCAATATAGAAAAATTTAAAAATACTTACAGGGCTAAATAGTCATCTTGTAATGTTGCCATGTTTTCACGAATCACAGTTGAATACATATTCCATATTGAGATAAGTCTCTTTAATAGATACTTCTATAAACAACAAGGGATACCTACTGTTAGTTTTGGCTCACAACACTGAATTTGCATTGTCTTTTCCTTTCTCTGAAACGACATGAATAAAAGAGTGACAGATACTTCCTGAGAAGTTGCCTTTATTTGTTACTAACCATTGCAACTGGTTTATTCTGTAGCCTTTCTACTTTTAGTTTCTTCATTGATAAAATGGAATTGCCAAGAATACCAGTACAGTTTTGTGAGGACGAAACAAAATTAGGTATATGAATGTGCTGCCTGGCACATAGGAACTTGATAAATCTTAGCACTTACTACTATTTAACATCACCTGGCACATTTTCAGGTGTCTTCAAAATAGAGAAAGAAATATAAAATTTTAACACTATTAAACTTTCTACCTTAACAGTTCTATGCTTCATATCTACACCTCCAAGAAAATAAGGACAGCTGATTTACGCTTTGGACAATTTTAAGCCCTGGATCTAAAACAAATTTTCTTCAATTGAGCACTCAGCTGGTGAGTAATAAGGTTATAAAAGTTGTCCATTTGCAATACACCCCTAAGCACAAAGTAGATGTTATTCCTTGACATTCTTTAAAAACAAATCTGAGTTTTTACTTCTTTTACCCAGAATCAGGTGTCAGAGATTATCAATAAGCCACCTCCATCCACAGGTAAGTGCCGTATTTTATGGGTCACCATCTCCATGCTCAAGGAAATTTCCGCCAGCACTCTGGACATCAGAGGACAGTCTAGACCCTTAAGGTATTTGTGATCTCGTCCTCAAACTGCCCCAGAAGCTCACTTGGAAGTATCATCTGGCACACTTTCTGGTTTGTTTCTGGTCCCTAACTCTCCAAAGGGTTACTCCCTAACTGCTACTTTGGTTTTCCCTGGGCCATCTTTCTTCTGATCACTGCTTAAGATCTCATAATGGAAGTTTTCTCCTTTTGTGTTGTTTCAGTTATGATGGTATGTCACTGCCCTATGAATTCCAGGTTCCCCTCTCACTTGCCAGCATCAAAGCAGCTTCAAAACTTTCTGATGGTTCCTGCCTATGTCCTTCCTCCAGCATCAAAAGCAGCTTCAAAACTTTGACTTTTTCTAGAATATCCCTCTCTGGTTAAGCATTGGTCCTGTAGATCAGAGTATTTCAATGATGAATATAGGGTTGTTAAAAGTCTTTCTGTTTGACTACCAATCTTTTAGAAGAGTAATTGCTATAAGAGAAAAAGTATACCATTTCCATCCACTTCTGGGTTCTTAGGGCACATCGTCACTTCATCAAGAATAAAGACCTTTCTAAACTTCTCTCATACTCACCTCCTAGACCAGGTCTATGACTAAAGTATTTTCTTCTAAGAATAACCAGCGATTTCTAAGAAAATGAATATATATATATATGGCTAGTAGACTATTACTTGGGGAAAGATGTGTTTCACAGATGCCAGAAAGATATGGAATGAGGAAGAGAGGACTTTTTAAAACCACATAACAAAGAAGGAAATTACCTTTAATAATGGGTACATATCATAGCTGTTCACATCAAAAACAAGATCCTTGGTTATCAGGTTCATCAAGACTGCATACCACACTATGATTTCATCTTCTTCAGCAAGGTACTTGGTTAAATCAAGTGCTGTTTCAATCTCAATATAATTGTTTCTGTTTGGTTCAAAAAAAAATACAGACTCAAAATACCTCCACTTGCTAAATAATTTGTACACTTTCCATATTTGTTCCATGCTTTGATGCCTCACTTCAATAAGATATGTTTAATAAGGAAGCTAGAGGTCCCATTTCCTTGATAAGATGGGAGCCAAGCAATGCTGACACTACAGTTTGATATACCTTCAAGCACCCAGATTTTTGGAGACTATAGGAAAATCCAGGCCAAATGTTGGACTGCTCATCCAATATTACAAAATTGAATATTACAAATTCTACAAAATAGAATTTCTAGTAACTTCTACAAAATAGAATATTACAAAGTAGTATATAGGACACGACTCTTGCCTACCATTGGGGAGCTTATTCTTTGAGGCTCAGGAGCTGGGCCTTATGCATAAAAAGCTGCTAATGAGTTCAAGAAAAGGCAATGAAGACAGTGAAAGTATCAAGGAAAACACATGCGTGTGATGGAAAAGTTAGGGAGGGCCTCCTAGAGGAGGAGCTTGAGAAGGGCAATGAAGGCTGGGTAAGATGGAAATGGATAGGGAGAAAGAGGAAGCCCACTTATGACAAGAGGATAAAGCGGGAACTGGTGTGATGAACAGACCAAGCAACCAAGGCACAGGAGTCCTTTAGTGTGCGGTTGAGAGGTGGAGGCTGGTAGATAAGGTGGATCAAAACTGTGGAGAGCTCTGAATGTCAGGATGAAAAGTTTACACATAGTGGGAAGGTGTTTAAACAACTGGGGTGACATCAGTGAAGCTGATGCTGAAAAATGTTATCACAACTGCTGAAGAAGACAAGATGGAATTTATTTTTTTTTTAATTTTTATTTATTTATTTATGATAGTCAGAGAGAGAGGGAGGCAGAGACACAGGCAGAGGGAGAAGCAGGCTCTATGCACTGGGAGCCCGATGTGGGATTCGATCCCGGGTCTCCAGGATCGCGCCCTGGGCCGAAGGCAGGCGCCAAACCGCTGCATCACCCAGGGATCCCGACAAGATGGAATTTAAAGGAACAGAAGGCTGGATGCTCACACAACAGGCTAAGTAACAGATAATGGGCCTGGCTTAACATGCAAGCAGAGAAGGTGGTAAATAAGGTGAGAATCCAAAAGACATCTTCAAGAAGCAAGAGGTAAGACAGGTTGACTAAATGACAGATGGAAAGAGAGAGAGAGAGGAGTCAAGGATACCTCTGATGTTTCAAGTGTGGGTGATGGGAAGCATCATGGCACTCTGACAGAGAGAAATTGATAGGAGGGGCAATTCAGAGACAGAAATAAAGTCCACTGTGTCAGGTCCTGAGTTTAAATGGCCACAGGATAACCAGAAGGCAGGAGGGAACAGATGGAGATGTATATTTAGAAAAGTCATGAACATATCCTTTCACAAAGCTTTATTGATTAGCTTATATCTGCTGGGCCCTGTACGTGCACATAATAAAATGATCCCTGAAACCATCAGAATGCATAAGGCATCCAAAGGAAATAGAGAAAAAAATAACATAACAATGGCAGGTCTGAAGGATGCTTGTAGCAGCAGGCAGAAAAGTCAGACACAAGAGGAAAACCAGTTTTGTGTCTCGGGACCCTCTAGAAGCCAAGAGAGGTTTCTTGGAGGATGTGGTTCAACAGTCCCAAAGTCATGGCGGTCCTAGAGAGGAGTTGCAGCAGGTCAGAGAGCAAGGAAACATGCTATAGGTCACAGAGGGAAAGTGGTAAAGAAATGAAGAAAAAAAATAAACACATTCATTCAAGAAATAGGGACAGGCCAAAGAAAGACAGAACATGCTGGATGATTTATTATGTATACTCCTTACTTTTGTTGTCTGAAAATTTAAATTCTGAACACATATTAATTTACCCGGATAAATACTTAGCACAGCTTATATTGAATAAATGTAATAGAAATAAAATCTAGAATTCTGTAGTATACTAAAATATAGGCCATATCCCATTAAAATTATACCTATAGCCCTTACCCTCAGGTAACAAAAATCACTTCAAAATCTCAACTGATAGTCTATTTCTAGTAATTCTATTTTTTTTGGATATGCCAGCTATTTCCTTAACTTACAATATCATAGGAAAATACAAATGCATCTACAATCTTCCTAAATTTATCCATTTTAATATTTAACAGCCTTTATATACACAAGCCCAAATAACTTGTATTTTTACCTGTTTAATAACTTGATGGAAATTTCAAAAGTAACAATTCTAATACTTTTGTGATAATCCCAAGAATATTTAAACACTATGACATTTTACCATGTACATCTTCTGTACTGCATCCTTTAAAAACTTCTCCTTTAAGGAATTCCTTTTAAAATGTTGAATCACATTTTCATATTATAAAACTGAAACTCTCTCCCCATGGAGCACTAACTTCTCATCCCCTGCCTTGCCCCCCCGGCCATCACCCTTTCCTTTTCCATCTCTAGGATTCGGACTATTCTGAGGAACTCATATAAGAGGAATCACATAGTATTTTGTCTTTTTGTGACTGGCTTACTTCACTAAGCCCAATGCCCTTAAAGCACATTCATGCTGATACACATCCCAGCAACTTTCACATTACAAAATTCCTTGGTACCCTCAGAACTCAATGTTAATCCTAATAAGTTGGGCCCTAAATATACTGAAGGAGCAATTTCATTTCATAGTGATTAGGCTGTAATATTTTATTAAGTTCTCAAGGTACACTCTAAAGCCAGCAGTGAAGAAAATATACTCACTTAGACAAGGAAAAGGCATCATCAATCAGCTGCAGCCTGTGGATAACAGGAATGCTCTGCAAATTAGATCCAAATTTGTGCAGGAAAAGATGAGAACATTTCTTAGCAATAGGATAATTTTCAAAATAATAACAGCATTTCAAGATCAGTGTTGCTTACGAAGCACTTTCATGTGAATTGTCTCTTGTGTAGAGAAACAGTAATCACTAAGGATAGTCCCCATGATTTATTTATTAGACATCTGTTTTTGATAAATGATCCCTCTGGACATCAATCATAAGGCTTTCATCTGGCAGAGAGTTTTGCCAAAATACTCCCTGAAAAACGGCATGGCAAAAAAAAAAAAAAAAAAGAAAAGAAAAGAAAAAAAAGAAAGGGAAGCCACGTTTAAAAGGCTATCCAAAACAGAAAGTGTATGTTAAATTGTCTTATGCTGTCCAAATTGTTGTCAGGAGAACTTCTGGCATAGGCAGCCTTACGTACAAAGCCTTGTGTACATATTACTTAGCACTATTTGGGTAATACTGAAGTATTCTGAGTGGTGTCTGTCATCTCAAGATCTTACTAATTTGACACAATGCCACCAACAGAGCATCCTGGATTCCAGAATCCCAGAAAGGCAGGGGTTAACTGCTTAGGCTTCGTCTTGACCACTTGCCACTGCCAGGCCACTGGACTGTCCCAGCTGAAGTGTCCACAGGGGGCCCAAAGCCTCCTATCCTCACGCATTTTCATTGGTTTGGTCCCAGAAAATTGATCTTCACATCACCTTGAACTTCTCAGCAAGCCACACTTCGATCTTTACTTGGCCTCATTTCCCTTCTGACAGTAATAACACTATTTTCTAAATTAATATTAATAATAGACATGGTGTTTTATTTGCTCCCCAATTATAAAGTAGAAGTAACTGACCACAGTTTTTCAATAAGTCAGTCTACAATAGTTTCAAAAAATCATTGCTAGAAGGGTATGACCTTGCTCCACAGCTTACAGCACCCTTAGAAAGCAAGAAGAGTGGTGCTACTCTGGGGGCACCTGGGTGGCTCAGTGGTTGAGCGTCTGTCTCCCTTTAACTCAGGGCATGAACCCGGGGTCTTGGGTTGAGGCCCACATTGGACTCCTCGCAGGTAGCCTGCTTCTTCATCTGCCTGTATCTGCCTCTCTTTCTGTGTCTTTCATGAATAAATAAATAAAATCTTTTTTTAAAAAAAGAGTCTAGCTACTCTGAAAAAGATTTGAAAATAAAATTTTATTATGTGTGCATTTTGTAGCCTTATTCAAAAGCCTAATGATAATTTTTTTTTAAATTACTGAGTATGTTCTGAAGGCCTGAGTTGTATCCTGCTTCTGTTAAATATGATCCATATATCACCTTACCTAATCTCCACAATCCTTTATGTAACATTGGTCTATTAAAACACCATTATACAGATGGGAAAACTGAGGAGTGATTGGCCAGATAAGAAGCCCAAGGTTACACATCTGGTAAATGATGAACACAAGTCGATTGGACACAGAAGCCACCCTCTGGACCAGTAACACTGAGTATCGTCTTCTGCTAGAGAGGCCACTGTGTATTTCAGAGAACTTTCGAAGACATAGACACTAAAGACATCTTCTAGCTCAATTCTCTAGCTTGAAGAATGGTGTCCCAGTGAACTAACTGACCATGGTTTCGCAGCAGAGCCTACTCTATAGACTCCTATGCCAGCATCCATCTCCACCAATGGAGACTGAGTTTAATTCAACCAATCAAAATCTTACTGACTAGAGCTAGCCAACATTTTAAGATTCATATATGGCATAATGACTTATCTTCAGTGATTAAGTGATAATAGATTCTATTGCTACTTTGTGAACTAAAGTCTCTGAGGGAGAGTAAGAATATAAGTTTTAAAAAATTAACACTTTTCTGGCATAGACTGTGTGTCCATTAAGGGCTTAGGAATTTTAAACTCATGTTTACCCACATTGTCTATCATCCTCATAAGTAACAAAGCTCTATTATTCCCATTTAAGGTGAAGAGATGGAAATGGAACATTTAAGCAACTTGTCTGAGATCACAAAACTAATGGTTAAGAGGAAAGTGTATTCTGATTTTTACCTAGGGAGGTAAAAGTGTTGAGGAAAAATGTTATTAATGTTCAAAGCACAGTACATTGAACCTAAATCTACCCTTTCTAAGAATGAGGGGAAAAAATGCAATATGGCTTGATTTGAGAGGTGGCAGTGAGAACAGAGTCTCTTCTCACCAGAGGGGTTTATGAAAGCTTGACTCAAGACTGCGCTATTAATGGTATTTAATAATAGATATAAAAAGTAACCTTACCTTAGGATCTTTTTCAAGCTGTTGATTTAGCTTCTTCCAACCTAACTGATCATAGTTAACCCTGTAATATCCAGTCACATTTAAATTTAGAATCACCCAGTCATGATCCGAAGCTGAAACTTTCATTTCAGGGAATATTTCTACAAAGGTACATGGGAAAAGTGTGAACTGGTACATCTAAAAAACATTCCAGTACATGTTTATACTATATCCTCTTAATCCTAAACAAAAAAACTCAATACATACAACAAAAAGTAAAGGAATTCTAAAATACATACTGACCTTACCATATAATTGTATTTTTTCACATATAATAGCTTTTGATTTGAAACTTTTCTCTAAAGTTCTATGTTAGATAAGAATGATGTAAGATTTTAGTTTGATGCAAGACAGCTTTTCAAAAGCTATATGCTTTCACATCTTATTCTCTGCCTTTCTATATGTAATATATACTCGTGCATATGTGTGAAGATATTTCTAAAACTTGTTACTTACTGCTGCTTTTATCTAGCCAGACCAGAGACTGTGTAGTTCCACTTTTTATCCAGAGAATAGGTATAATCCATGTGTCACTTATCAGGAAAAAAAACAAACATTCAGTTAATTTGCAGACATAATCTATAAATTCTGAGCCAATGTTAACTGAGATGATACAAAGAGAGGACTCAAATTCTTTGGTCAATAGATAAGGGTTTGCTCCTAGGATTATTCATTTTGTTGTTGTTGTTTTTAAAGATCTTATTTATTTGAGAGAAAGAGTGAGTGAGAGAGAGAGTGTGAGCACGAGGGGGGCAGGGTCAGATGGAGAAGTAGACTCCCCACTGAGCAGGCTCACTTTAGTGTTATAAGTCAGTTTTGCTTTAGCCTTTTGTTCACTTTCTTTTTAGTTTGTCTTCTTTACATTTTCTTATGAACTTAAGGCAGTTAGTAAGACAATCTTGTATATTAATCTTTCTTTCTTTCTTTCTTTCTTTCTTCCTTCCTTCCTTCCTTCCTTCCTTCCTTCTTTCTTTCTTTCTTTCTTTCTTTCTTTCTTTCTTTCTTTTTTTTGTATCTGAAACTCTCAAGGCCTGTTTGTATTAAATTATAGCCTCTTGGCCTCACTCAGGGGTTGTTCAAATGCTGCAGACAGACCCAACTCCATCTGCGCCAAGAGAGGCAAAGAGTAATTTCAGAAGAAAAAGCTTGACAAACATTGCAAAATGCTTTTCTGCCTCAAGCTTTCGCCTCATCTGAAAAGTGTTCAGCACACATCAGCCAGATTATTCATATTTACTGAATGCTGACATTCTTCCCACATTGGTGGACGTGACCTGGAGGAAGCAGATGACTGCAAGAGGACATTAGTCATCTCAAGAGTCACAGGCCTTGGAGTTTGGACAGGACTTGGAATATGGCTCAAATTGGCTCACAAATCTGGTTTCTCAAAGACTATGAATGAGGGTCATGTTTATCCAATAGTTAAGGCACACATCTTCTCAAAAGTCATGGAATCTTGATGAGCACCAGAGGATGTATGGGCGTGTTGAATCACAACACTGTACACTTGAAACTAATATAACACTGGGCGTTAACTAACTGGAATTAAAATAAAAACTTTAAAAAATCATGGAATAGCAGAGTGAGAGAAGGGACCTTCCATTCTCCTGGTTTGTTTCATTCATTCATTCATTCATTCACTCATGAGAGACACAGAGAGAGGCAGAGGCATAGGCAGAGGGAAAAGCAGACTCCCTGTGGGGAGCTGGGATCACGCCCTGAGCCAAAGGCAGATGCTCAACCACTGAGCCACCCAGGTGCCCCAGTGCGGTTGATATTCAAACCCAGGTGAAGGCCAGAATTCTCATAAGCATGGCTATAAATACACACCTACGTGCACATGTGGATATGGGCAAAACTATTCATCAAGGACATAGAGACTACTCAGTTCCATTTCTAGGGAAATAAAAGACGACTTGGCAGCAGTCAAGTCTCTTTGTCTCTTACTAACATGAGGCCTTGTATGGTTCTGTTTTGCTGCCTCTCACCCAGAATCCTGAGTAATTCATTAATTCTGTCTGAAGGACAGAGAGTGTATGACCCCTAAGGCTTTGGTTGCTGGTGTCATCCTAAATGCCAAGGGCAGGGGTACTGCCTTGGATCCCTCAATGCAAGTCTCTGGCCTCGCTCAGGACATCAGGGGCTCTGTCTCAACCCAGCACCCAGGAACACCCTGCACAGATATGAAGTTGCCTGTGCCAGAGCCCCTCTGCAGAAGAGCGTGTACCCAGCTGTGTGTTATGCTTCCTCACCAGCAGGCTGCTTTCCATCTGATGGGAGCTTAACCCCAAGGAAGGTGAAGACAGAGGAGCAAATGTACCTACTTGTGGGTTAGGAGAGTCTCGTTCTTAACTTTCCCAAGATAAAATGGCTCCTGTTTGATGACGCCAGTGGACACATTTAAGGTAATGACTGGAAAACCACTCTGGTGTGTCCAGCTGTCCATTATGCTTTTTACTGTTGCTGGCAAAAGAATTTTATTCTGATCATCTATGACCTGTTTAAAAAAAATCATCACAAGAGCAGATATTTACCATCAAAATCTCTTCAGGTAGCAATCTCCCAAAGGAAACTACATTGCTAGCTATTCTATTCTTCATTTATACAGTAATCCTCAGTGGGTGATATTCTGGGCCAAATTCAGAATTCTGCTCAACTCTCTATGTGAACGAGTCCTTAGTTCGTTCATTCATTTACTCACTCATTCATTCATTGAACATGCATGTCAGGAAGTAGGACGATTACCATTTGAAAATGCCTCCATAGATCATCTTGCTCAGCATTTGAGTAAGAAAATGTCTTCAAATATGACTAAAAAATAGAGACATTAAAAAGAGTGGAAAAGTTAAGGTCAAAATAAATAACATTTCCAATCAATTTGTGTTTCCTGCCTCCCAGGTGACAATTTTATAAACTTACCTTGAGTGCACTGATAAATAAATTCTCATTCAGGAAGCTGGAAAGCATTCGGGCCAAAGATGCTCCCTAGGACAAGAAACAGTCCATTGTCTGAACAAATTCAATACATAAATATTGACACATTCCATTTTGATAAGCAATATTCTAGGCTTTTCTCCCAATTGTATTGCATACTTCAGTTGAATGTTTGGGTTATCCCCAAATATGCCCATAAAATGGTAGACTGTCACTAACAAATAGGTAAAAGATGAACAAATGTACTACATATAAAGAATTCAAGGGCAGCCCGGGTGGCTCAGTGGTTTAGTGCTGCCTTTGGCCCAGGGTGTGATCCTGGAGTCTCGGGATCGAGTCCCACATTGGGCTCCCTGCATGGAGCCTGCTTCTCCCTCTGCCTGTGTCTCTGCCTCTCTCTCTTTCTGTGGATCTCATGAATAAATTAATAAAATCTTTTATTTTTTTTTTATTTTTATTTATTTATGATAGTCACACAGAGAGAGAGAGAGAGGCAGAGACACAGGCAGAGGGAGAAGCAGGCTCCATGCACCGGGAGCCCGACGTGGGATTCGATCTGGGGTCTCCAGGATCGCGCCCTGGGCCAAAGGCAGGCGCCAAACCGCTGCGCCACCCAGGGATCCCTAATAAAATCTTTTAAAAAAATTCAAGATACACAATATATTTTAAGCTGAGATATTTACAGGGTAAGAATAAATTTCCACCAAACAGAAGGGTTCACCTTAAAAGTAGCAAGTTGTTTCAGTGTTTTTATAATGATGGATGGTACTGAGCACCTAATATTGGTTAGATGAGAATTGATTTAACCACATGTTCTGAAATCCATCTGCTGAATAAAATTATGGTTATTTGTATCAAAAGTTGCACAGTATCATCATATTAGCCTATCATTCTTAGAATCCATTTTATGTACCTTACTGCAAGAGTGCAAAACGAAAGGAAATATGTGACTGATTTTACCTTGTTGTAAGTAAATAAGTCAAAGAGCTCATTTATTTCACTGGTTTCTGTGAAATTTTCCACCTTCAAGGACACAGCTCTAGACACCAGGGCGTGATCTTCACTGAGGACATTATGTAAAATGTTAGAAAAAAAGATCTCATTCTAAAAGGAAAAGATTGAGCAACATTAACTTCTTAGGTGTCACAGAAACACAACATTGAAATACTGTCAAAAACACCTTTCAAAAACTGACACTGACGAGGGGAAAAAATCATTCAGATGCACTCTGTGAGCTGACATATGCCAAATAAGTCAGGATTCTTGAAAAACAAAACTCTAATATACTTTTCTTCCCATTTAATACCCTTCTTATTTCAATTTTTAAAAAACCCATTACAAAAGTTCAGAATGTTTTCCAAGAGAGCTATCTACACTTCCCCAAAGGAGATCCCTGATCACAGACAGGATCCTCTAGGAAATAGCATCCCTAGGTGGTTTGCATCCTCTAGAAATTTATTGGAAATTTTATTAGTAACCGTCTAAAATGGATCGGTCTCTCTTAAACAAACGTTTACAAACCGCAATGTGCCAGATTTACAAATTTGATGATGATGTCGTAATTTGTAATTATTTATTGAAATAAATCCACAGGCTGGATACTACAGTTTATAGATCATGCATTATGAGCAGGCAAATTATTCTATTCTATTAAGTACAGAACTCTCCAAAAAATTAGACCTCTTTCACACACATGACAAGGGTCATTTCTTTTTTGGAGGAAAGATAGAAGGAAAGCCAATGTACAGCCAGAGGGCACAGCAAAGCCAAAAAAAGGGCAGTGGTAAAGAAGCAGCAGAGAGAGTTGGCTTCTGCCCTGTAGAGCTGAGTGAACCCCTTTTATAATCCACAAGAGCCTCAACTCCCTAGCAGCTATCTCTGGGGTCCCCAAGTTGACTCTTTCAAATTCTGCCCACTTCCATTGGCCAGTGTTCCAACCAACCGTCTCCTATTAGCATATTATTTTTCAATTTATTAACACCATTGATGAGGCTACTGTTAAACTCTGCTCCTTCAGAAATGAGACAGCCTGTCATTTAGAGCAGTATTTCTCAAACTTTAATGTGAATAAGGATCCCCTGGGGATTTGATCAATTCATATGTGAATTCAGCTGGTCTGGGTTGGGGTCTGTATTTCTAATCAATTACATGGTGATGCTCATGTCACTAGCATGATAATCCCACTTTGAGTAGCTAGGAATGGAGGGGACATTTGTTTAAGTCTGATCTTATTCATTAACTATAGGTTTTATTAGTTTACTTGAGTATTCTCGAGATCGTCTCACAGTTGACCCATGTGTCCCAAAAAAGCAACATGGAAAACAGAGGAAATAAAAAGTACCCATAATCCTACACTCCAAGATAGTCACCATTAGAACTAGTACTGTTTTTTACAATCTCTTTCCCTATGTGTTTATTTACTCACATAGATGTAAAAACTTTTATCTTGTTTACTTACTTATTATGACATTCATTGAAAAATTCTGTTATCTCATCTTCATAAATATCTCTAACAATGGCTGCTGCATTCTATACTACACAAACTGGAAGGAAATAAGCCAAAACTTAATAGTGATGATCATAGTATGGTCAAATCACATATGACTTTCTTCTTTTCAAAGTATAACAGATAACACTTCTGCAAAAGCAAAACATTAAAATAAATAAATGCATAGTTGCAGAATGGGCCACTGAGTCAATGAACCATAAATGACTTCATCATTTCCCTATTAGTTTGGCATTTAAATTGCTTCCAGATTTTTACTGTTTTAAACAATATTTTAATGAGCACCTTTATATATAGCCTTCTCCATATTTCGTAAATTCCCCTCTACTCCTCAGAATGGATTGTCTGTCTTTTTTCTGACTGGTGTAAGATGTTATATTATCTTCTTGGTATCACTATAATCACACAAGTTAGCTGTGATGAAAGGGGTAGACACCTCTTCCTCAACATCCCCAAGGTCCTTCTCCTCTGGGCCTCCCATACAGTGAGTTTTGTCCCAGTCTGTTCCAGTCCTGCTGGAGGGAAACATTTACACAAAAAGTAAGGTTTGCCTTTAAAAAAAAAAATCGTTATCTAGGCACTGCGTACAGTGACAGGAGAAGGTGAGGCTGTATACCCATCATCACTCTCTTTCTGCAAACTGCAAGATTCTAGAGAAAAAGACCTACTCCTATTAAATTTATTGTTACCCTAAGAAATATAACAGTATTTATTATAATAAATTTACATGTGGTTAAAAGCCCAGGCTTGGAGTCTGAGCTGCCTGGGTGTGAATCCTACCTTAACCTCTTTGGACTTGTGTGGCTATAAAAGGCAATCAACTTTATCTCTCTGAAATTTGGTTTCTCCATCTAGAAATGGAGGAAAACAACATTGTCCTTATTGGATTATTTTCAGGACTAAATGAATTTACAGAAAGTGCTTAGCACAGTGCCTGGCAAAAAAGCACACGTTCAATGAGAGCCACTTGAAATTACTTATCATCATCAACATCATTATTATTTCTTTAGAGTTAAGTACTGAATCAGATAATGTATACAATACTCCATAAGCACACGAGCACTTGGTAAGTAGTAGTTGTCATGATGTTACCTAATGGATAAGAATTTGTTGAATGTCTACAAGAAACTTACTTTACAAATGAGAAACTAAAGCTCAGAGGTGTTCCACTGACAATGAGTATAAAAACAGAGTGAGATCAGACTGGCTGCACGGCTCCTGTGTGCCTTTCTCTCCACCAAATCTGATGCTTCTTTAGGCCAGGCTGTGTCAGACCTGGGCTTCAGAGACAAAGAAACCACTGGTCACTGACGTTTTCTGAATCTGTGACCATGACCCATTCATAACATGTTTTAATGACTTTCAGCTGAAATTAGAGCAAGCAAGAAAAAAAAATGAAAATCTGTTCCTGCATATGGTTCTGTGATTCTCTTCCCCAATGCCAATTTAATGACCAGATTAAAAGGAAGCCAAAGTTCTTGATCTCTCAGAGATCACTGAAGTAAGGCTGCTTCAGGCTTTTAAAAGACAAAGCTAATGGCAATTTCCTCAACACCAGGATCTGATGCTCTTTTGCCAAGGGTTATATTCACTCAGCTCCACAGACACTAAGAAATGTAGATTCAGAAAGGAGTGATTAAGAAACCAATGATTAAAAGAAATAGCTAAATGGTACCAAAAGAGGTTAATCGTATCATCTTTGCTTCACAAACACTAGTAATATATCTTCATCAAATTTTCCCAGATATAATACCTTAGCCAATTTCAGTTGCATGAGGTAACTGATTGATGTTAATGATCTATTCCATTTGATTAAGAAAATAAGGATGAATCTAATTGTTTCATGGGAAATGGAACTTCTTTTCTTATTGAATCCAAGCAGAGTTAATTTGGGATACAACCAAATGCTTTCATAAGCATTTATAGATGACATGAACCATGCATAGGTTCTATCTTATAAAAGAGAGATTTAAACAATTTTATAGCTATAGAGTATATGGAAAGGACTTTTGAAGAAAATTAAGGTTTACTCTCTATATATAAATTTTATAAAAATGAAAAGAGTCATATAATGAACTCACACCCCCCCCCCACTAGATCTCAGGGGAGAGGAACACTCTTATGTGCTTTCACAGAGCTCAGTTGGGTGAAGGTATGCGCGTGGTATTAGAGACACCTTGAACTGAATCTCATCTCTGACATATAGTAGCTGTGAGAACTTGAACAACTTTCTTAATGCTCCTATGTCTGTTTCCTCAACTAGAAAATAGAGTGACAACTACACTCATATGATTGTTTTGAGGATTGAGTTAGATGATGTGTGTACAAAACACAATACCTGCTACTTGCGTCCTAAGTGCTCCAAGAATAGGAAGTGCAGTATTATTGCTGTTATTATCATCATTACCTTCGTCATCAGACTAGATCTGAACAACTAGATAATCACAGTTCTGTCGCCATCATGCAAATGACTTCGGCAAGTCACCTAATCATCCAGTACTTCAGTCTCCTTATCTATGTAATGATGCCCAACCCAGGGGAGGGGGAGCAGAGGCACCACAGAGTGGCTGGACTGTGGGATGGTGGGTGATTTCTAGGAATTCTGCAAAGCACAGGGTGGGTGGCATGGAACGGTGTATTAGGAGGCTGCTACATCAGTGCTTCCCACAAACTGATTTCACGAACATGTTAAAAAAAAAAAAGGAGTAAAAAAAAAGAGGGATTTTTAAATAAAGTGTCTGTGGGGCCAAGTTAAGTTTGCCAACTCTGAATTCTGCCAAATAATCAACAAAAACCAAGTATCATCTATCTACCATCTCCATCCTTTTATTATAAAGGGAAAATTTATTGCCAATATAATAGGAAAAATATCATCTTATAATATCCTTTAAAGTGAGTACATTTAGCCTGTAATAAAGATCTGGCCAGTAGAGAACAATCAGTGTTTCAAATATCGATTTACTGGGACACCTGGGTGGCTCAGTGGTTGAGCCTGTTTTCAGCTCAGGTCATGTCCCTGGAGTTCTGTGGTCAAGTCCCACATCAGGCTCCCCGCAGGGAGCCTGCTTCTCCCTCTGCCTGTTACTCTGCCTCTCTCTCTCTTTTCTCTCATGAAATAAAAAAAAAAAATTGTTACAAATATTTACTGAATGAGGCTAGGGAAAGAAGTGAAGAACCAAGCTTGGAAACAGTGGGAGGTGGGATGACAGACAGACTAGCCAAGAGCAGCAGGATGAGCAACTCTGAGCATCAGAAAGGTGCAGGGAGTAAGGGACAGAGCAGAAGCAAGGACTTTGGGCTTGCTATATAAAGGAAGTGAGGTACACGTCAGAGAATATTACATCTCAACATTTAAACATCTAAGTCAAAATCAATTCCATTTTATCATGCCATCCTGAAAGCACTACCTAAATTAATCTACATAAATGACCAGAAATAGAACTTATAGTTGAAATAATCAGATTTGCATATTCACGAATTCATATTTTCATATTACTATTTATTCAAAATACCAAAATAGTTATCAGCTATAATATATATGATATTAGTTACACATCTGATATATATAACATTTTATAATATATAATATAGCATATTCCTTATCATTGAAGTCATAGACTACTAATTACAGTGCCTTTAAAATTTAGTCTAGGTAGGAATAAGTGAAAATGACCTAAAATCTAGGGAAAGATAGTATGCATATACCTTATAAGGTGATATAATAAAATATTAGGCAACCCTGAAAAATCTTTTCAAAAGTGATTTAAGGATTTGCAGAAATGCTCTTGATAAAATATGAAGTACGGAAGGTATTACACGTTTCTGTGTAAAAAAAGTAATTCCCATTTTTATGAATATTTATAATGAGTAAAAGCCTGGAAAAAGAAAACACATAAAACAGGTAACACTAATCATCTCTGGTATTACAGATCTTTTAATATTCCTTATATTTCCTGTATTTTACACATAGGAAACAATGAACTACATTACTTTTACAAGTAGGAGCAAAACATTACAAGTAAATTTCACAGACATACTTACTCTTGGGAATTCAGGATTGAAGTAGTTAATTATTCCAAATTCAAAATAAGATGCAAAGCCCTCTTTGAGCCAGATATCGTTCCACCAATTCATGGTAACCAAATTTCCAAACCACTTTTGGAGATGGGAGAAAATAGAGCTCACTTAAATTTAATTTAAGGAACATTTATTGTAATTGCATGTTAAATAAACGTAAGGTCGGAGACATAACTAAACTTTATTTTTGTCCTCAAAAACAAAACTTGAAAATAGGACTTCAAAAAGCAGGTTGGTGCTTTAACATGAAGAGACAGCAGTCCTGTATTTCTTTGAATTAATTATGTCACATCCAATGACTGAAATCAACTTTTGTTTTAAAATTTTCATTTTCAAAGGCAAAGTAATCTAGAGTAGCATTTCTCAAACTACCCACTTTCCCAACAGTTAATTTAAATAAAGCAGAGGTCCGGAATGCTCACTTACCACCTACTAATTACAGCATCTTATACTCTAAATAGACTACATCAGAATTTTGCTGTAAGCAGTTGTTATGTTTCAAGAACATGTTTTGATCTGTGCTAAGTACAAGTCACTCATGTTCTGCTAGAATTCTTTTCCAGCTTAACAGAAACAAAGTGTCACATGGACAATGAATGGAATCAGGAAGGAAAAACACAATTATTTCTAAAACCAACGAATCTGTACCCTAGTATTTAATCAAATTATTACAACAGCTGTCATGTACTAATAGCTAGCAGCCGGTCTTCCAAAACAATGTGTTGCTTGGGTGATCATAATAAATGGTATTTTGAGTGACTGATCAAAACTTGTCAAAGTTTGTGTTGACTGTGCAACGAGGTGTTAATTCTGTCCCAGTAAAAAAACTCTGGCCCATTACCTCTTGTGGATCCACATAACAGGAAGATAACAATTTCATAGTTTAGATCATTTCTTTCTTGACAAATTTGTATGAATGGAGTCAATGTCAAAAAAGCAGATGTGGGAACCTCCATCAAACACATAACTAAGCTTCTACAAATCACATTGTGAAAACATAGATCTAATGAAATAAATCCTCGTTCACACTGCTTTTGGGTATGCAGCTTGAGATCACTGCTCATCTCACTGACATAGTAACCACTTGCCAATATTCCTTTAACGTCTCTTCAAACAAAGCAAAAACAAAGTTTATAACAATCTACTGATGAAATGTGGATATCTTTCAGGGCCTTTTTGAATATCCTTTATTTTAAGATGGAATGAAAATGAATAATCATAGCTTTGGTTGGCTTACTTTCCCTGAAAAGGACTCTATGGAGCAAAGTTTACTTTTGTATGTAAATACCTGACCTCCTAAAGGCCTGTAAGTTCTCCTCGCTATGATCCCTCACCAATAGTTCAAATCCCCACAAGCTCTGATTATATAGATCCTTCCTTCACTGTCCCACTTTTTGGATATTTTTTTTAAAATGTGGTATACCATTAGAGGGTTGGTTTTTGTCTTGGGGTTTTTTTGTTTGTTTTTTTTTTTCTGGTTTTGTTTTGCTGTTTTTTGCTATCCTTGGTAGAGCAGCTAGAGAATGTCTTCACGTAAAATAAGAAAGAACATTTTACCACATGCCTGATGTCCAATCTCGTGGGAGAGAATGAAGGAGATCACAGCCTTTTTGTCTGTTACTTGATCATTTGGTTGCATCAACAATAATGACTCATCAAATATCAATAGTCCCCAATTTTCCATGGCACTGTTGTCAAAAGTAGGCAAGGCAATTATATCTAAGTGGATTTAAATGGAAGGAAAAATGAAATCATCTCTTCCAAAAAGTTTGAGATTTCCAGATACAAGTATCGCAAAATGAAATCATAAAATTACTAAAAGAAAATACAAGTGAATATTTATAATTTGAGGGGAGAGAAGATTAATAGCAAAGACAGAAGCCAGAAAATAAATTGTTCTGATTATCTTATCTGAAAATCAAATACTTTTGATAAAGGATCTGTACAGAGAAATCTTAAAACTTGACATTAGAAAACTAAACTTTACAAAACTGGCAAACAATCAATCTAAAGAGACACTTCACTGCATAAGATAAGCAAATGGAAAATACGCATAAGGAAAAGATGCTCTACATAAGATGTCATTAGAAAATTGCAAATTAAAACAGTGAGATACCACTATATACCTATTAGGATGGTCTAAATCCAAAGCACACTACTAAACGCTAGAGAAGATATGGAGCATCAGGAACTCTCATTCGTTGCTGGTGGGAATGCAAAATGGTACCACCACACTGGAAGACAGCTTGGCCGTTTCTTATAAAGGCTGATCGTACAGGTTAGCAACTGAGCAATTGAGGTTATTCACCCAAATGAGTCGAAAACTTTAAGTCCACACAAAAACTGGTACAAGGAGGTTTATACCTATAAACCTTTAAGTGTGAGACTTTGTAAGTGTGAAAAATGAGCAAGCAAGACGTCTTTCAATGGGGGAATGGATAAACAAACTGTAGTATAAATAAATCCATGCAAGAGAGTATCATTCAGCAATAAAAAGAAATGAGCTCTCCCACTATGAGAGGACAAGAAAGAAGTTTAAATGCAGATTGCTAAGTGAAAAGAAACCAATGGGGAAAAACAGCACATGGTATAATTCCAACTATGAAACATTTATCTGGAAAAGGTAAAACCAGAGAGACAGTAAAAAGCTTGGTGGTTATCAGGACTCTAGGGAGAAAGTGAGGAATAAATAGTTGGAGCACAGGAGACTTTTATGACCATGAAACTACTCTGTAGGACACTGCAATTTTAGATACGTATCATTATACATTTGTCAAAACTCAGAGAATGTATAGTACCAAGAGAGAAACCTAATGTAAACTAAGGGCTTTATTAAACAATATTGTATTGATATTGGTTCATCCATTGTAACAAATGTGCCACTTGAATGCAAGATACAGGAGGAGAAACTGTATGGGGGGAAAGGGAAGGGAGAGGAGATAAATGGGAACTCCCTATACTTTCCATGTAATTTTTCTTAAGCCTACAAGTGCTCTGAAAATGTAGTCTAGGGACGCCTGGTGGCTCAGTGGTTGAGTGTCTGCCTTCAGCTCAGGATGTGATCCCAGAGTCCTGGGATCGAGTGACGCATTGGGCTCCCCGCAGGGAGCCTGCTTCTCCCTCTACCTATGTCTCTGCCTCTCTCTTTGTGTCTCTCATGAATAAATAAATAAAATCTTTAAAAAAAATAGTCTAGTTAAAAGGAAATACATTAGTTTGCCAAAAGGCAAATTTAGTTCATCATAAACAAATTTGAAAGGCAAATCACAAGCTGGGAAAAATATCTGCAGCATATATCACAAACAATTAATGTTTTTTTAACATTAAAAAAAACTCTACCAAATCAAAATAAAAAAACACAAATGAAAACAGTTCACTAAGGAAATAATTTTAAAAAAAAGAAATAATTCAAATAGCCAAAAATCTTACTTAAGATGTTCAACTTCATTAATCATGAGAAACACAAAACCATGGTATAACTTAATCTTTCAAATGTATAAGAAGATGAACAATTAGTACTGCTAATATTAGTATTAATAATTAGGTAAGGAAAATTGGCAGATAGCCTGTTGGTAAGGGTGTAACTGCTACAATCTCTTGGGAGCAATCCAGCAAAATGCTTCATAATTTTTTTTTTTTTTTGCTTCATAATTTTAAAATGTTCCAACCCTTGACTAACTCATTCAACTTTCTGAGTTTATACTAAGACAAATAGCATGGATGCTTGTAAACATTTCTTATGTTTTCTTTAGCATGCTTAAAGTAGCCAAAAAAGGGGAAGAAAGCATGCAATTAGTCCAAATGTTCAACCAGAGGATTTAAATAAATTATTTTGCCAAATTGATATTGTAGGCATTCTATGTTTTAAAAATTATGATACAGGAACACCTGGGTAGCTCAATGGTTGAGCGTCTGCCTTCAGCTTAGGTCATGAATCTGGGGTCCTGGGATCAAGTCCCACATCGGGCTCTGCCAAGGGAGCCTGCTTCTCCCTTTGCCTGTGTCTCTGCCTCTCTCTGTCTCTCATGAATAAATAAAAAATACATACATACATACATATTTTAAATTGAATAAATAATTAATAAACATGACAATAGAGGGGCCTGGGTGGCTCAGTCATTTGATATATGTGCTGCCAAAGTGAGCACAGGCTCAGTCATTTGAGCATCTGGACTGTTGGCCTTGGCTCAGGTAGTGATCTTGGGGTACTGAGACGGAGCCCTGCGTCAGGCTCTGTGTTCAGTGGGGAGTCAGCTTGGGATTCTCTCTCCTTCTCCCTGTCCCTGCCCCTCTACCCCTGCCCCCAAATAAACCTAGAAGAACAAGAAAAAATGTTTACTTTCTTTTGCTAATAAAAGAAATGCCATTTTTATAATGTATGCTACGTTTGCCTAATGAGTGTGCTGTGCTCCGTATGTTATGTTGACTTGCACTACCACCTTTTCCTCCACCTGCACCTTTCCCGCCCTCCCACCCACCCACTTTCCTTAGACAGACTGATCTGCTCCACTCAAACCAATCCCCTTTGTCCTCTACTACTGCTAAGCTGTTCTTGGCTCCAGCTGTTTGGTGCCCCAGAAATCCTCTCTTCAATGTCCAAATGTCCATGGATCCTTGTGGTCCAATCTTACCAAGTCGAAGAAGCCATACTTTACTAACTCCTGATAACAATTTTAAAACAATTGTTTTAAAGACAATTTAAACAATTGAATTTTTTTTTTTTTACCTCCAGATGCACAGAATTGAAAGTAAGCAAATTCTTGTTTCTTGATAAACTGTCCTCACTGGTTCACACAGGACTCTGTTTTATTTTATTTTAATGGTTAACTCATTATTTTAAAATAATGATATAAACACCCACGAATCTGCCTCTCTCTTTTTAGAACAAGGGTTGGAAAACCCTCTCTTTGAAGAGCCAGACAGTAAATATTTTCAGTTTCGTGGGCTGTATGTTTTCCATCGCAGATTTGACTCTGGCATCACAAAGCAAAAGCATCCCTAGACACTGTTATGGGGAAAAATGAGCAGGCTGTGTTCCAGTAAAACTTTATTTATGGACCTTTAGACGTGAATTTCATCTGATTTCCGTTTCATAAAATACTCTTGTTTTTTCAACCATTTAAAAATGTAAAAACCACTCTTCGTTCGAGGGCCATACAGAAAAAGGCAGCGGCCCACATTTGATTGTATGCCAATATTGAAAATATTGAGAATATTGAGAATATTGCTAATAACTAACTCAAACTGTGATTTCCAGACCAGTAGCACCGGCATCACCTGGGAACTTACTAGACACAAGAATTCTGGGACCAACCACAGACCTACTGAAACGGTGTCTGTGTTTTAATAAGCCTTCAGGATTATTCCAACACATGCTGAAGTTTAACAGCTGACTTAATCTCTCTTTGGGATCCTTCTCAACTCATACTTTCATGTCTTCTTCCAGCAGCTAAATCACTATCCTCAAGTTTAGGGGGTTTTATTTTTAAACTTTAGGAGAAAATGTTTCATTTTCATTGCTATTGAGTTTTTTCATTGTGTGAATGATCTATAATTTACCTATTCCATTCTCCTAAGAGTGACCATTTTGCTTTCTTTCAGTATATGGCTATACTATAAAAAGTGTAGCTATGAAGATTCTTGCACACGTCTTCTGGTACATACATATGTGCTCAGATTCCTCTGGGAGATATATTTAGAAATGGAATCACTAGGTTTTAAGGTATTCTAATGATCAACATTGCAAGGTAATAAATATGTTTCAAAGCTGTTGTGACAATTGATAACTCCCTTCAAAATGGCCACTTTTTAACATTTGGCATTTGTTAGATGCCTACTTTTTAACGAGTGAATAGGTATAAAATGGGGCCTCACCAAGGCCTTGGACATTCATTACTTAGATTACTAATGAGGTTAAGTATCTCTGCATAAGTTTATTAGCCACATGAGTTCCTTTTTCTGTAAAACATCTATTCATGTATCTTCTTTTCCTTGTTTTTTCTTCTGTACTGTTCTTATTTATTTGTAGGTATTCTTTATATATTTAGGCTACTCCCATTACCACTTCTTAATCATCTTTCTCTTAAGACTTTTACTTAGCCAGTCCATTATCTCTTGTTTGGTGATTTGTTGCTTTTGTTTATACATACTGAAGCTACCACCGCAGCTCAGCTACTTGAACAGAGCCCCAGCCACCTACTTCTCTTGCATTCAAAAGGCACCGTGAGGGGCACCTGGGTGCCTCAGTTAGTTGGTTAAGCACCAGACTCTTGATTTTGGCTCAGGTCATGATCTCAGGGTTCTGAGATCGAGCCCCGTGTTCGGCTCCACGCTCAGCATGTAGTCTGTTTGAGATTCTCTCCCTCTGTCCCTTCCCTCTGCTCACACACTCTCTCTCTCTCTCTCTCTCAAAAAAAAAAAAGGCATCAGGAAAAGTAATAGGTAACCAGTACTGTTTTATGGTTTATATTGTATTTGCCTTTCATTGCTACAAAAATTCAAATCATGCGGGGGGTGGTGGTGGTGGGATGTATAATATATATAGTTAGGATACTATTGTTTTAAAGTTAAGAGCAAAATTAAAACTTAAAAGAGAAGTTGCCATTTTTATTTTATTTTTTTTTAATTTTTTTTTTATTTATTTATGATAGTCACAGAGAGAGAGAGAGGCAGAGACATAGGCAGAGGGAGAAGCAGGCTCCATGCACCGGGAGCCCGACGTGGGATTCGATCCTGGGTCTCCAGGATCACGCTCTGGGCCAAAGGCAGGCGCCAAACCGCTGCGCCACCCAGGGATCCCGAGAAGTTGCCATTTTTAAAAGTCTGCAGGGGCACCTGGGTGGCTCAGTCAGTTAAGCATCAACTCTTGATTTCAGCTCAGGTCATTATCTCAGAGTGTTGAGATGGAGCCCTGAATCAACCTATCTGCTTTGTGGGGAGCCTGCTTGAGATTCTCTCCCTCTCTCTCTCTGCCCCTCCCCCTGTCTTTCAGGTATGCATGCTCTCTCTCTCAAATAAATACATCTTAAAAAAAATAAAAATAAAAGTCTGCAAGTCTTAAAGGCCCACATTATTTTTTTTTAAAGATTTTATTTATTTATTTGAGAGAGAGAGTATGAGGGGCAGGTAGAGCAGAGGGCACTTTTGACTTTAAACAGTCAATTAAAAGGATAGCAACCCCAGAAAAAAAAATGCTCTTACATGAACATGGTTTAGATTCTTGGGCTTAGAACTCATTGAGCAAGTGACCAAACAAACAAAAAAAAACCTGAAAGAATAACACATGAAAGAAATAAGCAAAATGGCTTTTCACCTGACTCTCTGAGAAGAAGAGGATGGCTTGGGTGGGAAAGGCCGGTAGGGAAGGGATCTGTGTCTCATTTTGTTTTGTATATTTTTAAGTCTCAACCAAGAGTTAAAATAACAAGGAAACATGTATTCATCTTTCTCTTATAGATCCAGTAACAGAAAATCTCCTTATTTTAAAAATCTGTCAAAATACAATTTTGATTGAGTGCCACCTGAGTGTCACCTTGGTTGAGATGCTATGAACGATATGAGAATGTGCCAAATATAACCCTGATTTCCAGAAGCTGACAACCTAGTCAGAATTTATATGGAATTACTGGACTAGGTCTTTAATTCCCTTCACTAAAAACAAAACAAAACAAAACAAAAGACCCAAAAAACAACTTTACCATTTACCATTCTGAAAAAAGCACTATCAGTAGGCTCTGAAGGTACAAAGAAAAAGAGAAGCCAGATCCTGAATCCAAGTTACTCCTGATTTAATGGGGGGGGGGACACTCAAGATCTGGTTAGGTCAAGAGCTCAAATGGAAGGGTACATAGGATGCCATGGAAACATGAGAAAAAGAGAGTCAGGGAAAGCTTCCTGGAGGAGGGGGCCCTGAGTTGAGAAATATGCGAATTAATCAGTTGGATAGATGTCATTGCAGGATGTGCAAAGTGCATGTGCAAGAGCCTGGGGAGAAGAGGAAAGTGGAAGAGGGGACAGAAGGGGTGCCAGAGCATCCTTCTAGCTCAGAAGAACTGACAAAAGCCCGAAGAGTTCAGCCAGACATGCACTGTTATAAAGACAGAGTGCAGAGTTTGGACTTTATCCTCAGGGCGATGGGAACCCATCGAGAGGCTGTAAAGAGGACAGTAATAGGGTCCTTGAATTTCACTATGAAAAGATCCCCCACAGTCTCAGTCAGAAGATGGAAGTGAGGGGGGCAAGATGGAAGGGGGCATAACCGAATAAGGGCTGCTGAGGTGGAAGTAGTGGTGGTGTAAACCTGGGGGGCTGGGGCGGGGGGAGGGGATGGAGATGGTAAGGAGGATGGAGGAGGTGCTTTACAGACCATGGAGTGGAGGGTGACTCTGGACTGTTCCTTATCTAAATAAAGACAAATAGAACTTTTCTTGCTGAGACAAGTGTCATCTTGAGATCCTCCAGCCCAGAAGCTTCCAGCCCCAGATGCCTTCAACTCTCAAAATGACAGGTATCACTTCCAGGATCCCTGAATGGGCCAACACCAGTTCACTCTCCATTCCTCGAGCCCCTGGCCTTGAGCTGCAGAGCCTCCCACCCACTCCCCACCCCACCCCTGGCTCGCTGGGCTGAGTTCCCAGACATACTTCCTCCCTCCTTTACCATCTGCCAGTATAGACAGAGCCTACTTTACTTTATCCAAGATGTCACATGACATGTCAGAGGAACAAAACATGTTTACATGATACTCTCAACACAGAACAATGGACAACTTCCTGAGCTAAGTGGCTCACACAATTTCAAGGACGTACTATACAGATCTATAATCAATAAAACGTTTACCTATTTCCTCAAGGATCACGTGGTGTTCACATGTGATTCCAATTTTATACAACAAAAGTTGACAGGACCCCATGTCCAAAAACACCAACCAAACAAAACCCCAACAAACCCCAGCTCACAAAAGACCACCACCATAAAAAAAAACCCTCATTCACGGGAACTGGAGTAATTCACTCACATAGGCCCACTGAAAAGATCCAGAATATTGCATCAGACACATGGGAGGGGAAAGAACAGAACGTAAGGGAGGAAGCAGAGTCTGGAGGATGTGAGGCTGGCAACAAACACCCAGGAGGAACCTAAGTCCTGAGAACACCTGCTGGGCACACAGCATTGTACAGAGAAATAGCAGACAGGCCTCTTCTGTGTTCAGGAAGGTATAGGACATAAGGCTGGCAGCCCACCCCCGCCTCCAAATAGCAGCTACATGGTGACAGTGGGTCCCTGGAGGCTCGGCTATGTAGCCTTTGACCTTAACCCAGGGCCCGCATAATAGGAAACCAATTGCATTGGAAGGGAAGACGGTTTACCTGTTTTAGGAAGAGGGTAACTGATATTAAATAAATCTTCCAGAAAAGAGAAGATGGGACCTGTGATGTTCAAAGCAAAGTCTGCATTTCCGTTTGTGATGGCGTCTTTCCGGGCCCAGATGCGTATCTAAATCAAAACAAATAAGTGGTGATTAGGAAAAGCTGTGGCGACTTCGGGGACAAGCAGCCTGCTTGCTCCAGTTCCCTGAAACTCTAGAGTCAAAGTCTCAGCTTTTCAGAAGAAGCTACTACCGGATAAAATGTTGACAGGTGACCCTGAACACATTGGGGTGAGGGGTGCTGACCTCATGCAATCAAAAACCCACAGATAACTTTCAGCTAACCAAAAACTTAACTGCTAAGAGCCTGCTATGGGCCAGAAGCCTTACTGATCACGTGAACTTTTACTTAACACATATTTTGTGTGTCTATTATATACTGTTTCTCACAGTAAAGTAAGCTAGAGAAAAGAAGATGTCATTAAGAAAACTGTAGGAAGAGAAAAATACATTTACAAAACTCCGTGTGTAAATCCGTGTGTGCGTGGACCCGCTTGGTTCCAATCCGCATTGTTCAAGGGTCAATTCTAAATGTGTACATGCCCTGGAGAAAGTCCAAAGGCTATCTGCTAAGATATGAGCAGTGATTCTCTGGGAGGGTTGATATTTCAATGTTTTAGAGTAATGCAGGTAACTTTTGGAATTTAGGAATAATCCTTGGAGTAGTATCTACCCCCAAAGAAAAAATAGACTGTCTTAGAGTAAAAGGGCATCGCAGACCTTTGCTTCCCTTTTTAGGACATATTTCCAATGTTCCAAAACAGAATTGTGCCCTTAGCAGATGTCACACAGTATGGTACATTGTACCTGTGTCCGAATTATGCAAATTAAAGACTGTTTCTCAATGTTTATTGATGCTAAATTCATTAATAGTGCGATCTTGTTTTCAAAATTTGAAATAAGGTTAATTCCCGAATTTAAAAAAGTTCATCAATAGCCTTATGATTTTACAGTTGTTGAACAAGTGAATTACATTCTCTGTTTATGACACTTCCGCTTTAGTAAGTATAAAGAAATCCCTGCCATGGTTTGTTAGTTTCATGTAACCAAGCTATTACTTGAGGCCTTGGGAATTTATTTCTGTGATTCTAGCAGCTAATTTGCTCTTGTTTTCATTAGTTCTTATTTTAATATGAAATCATTTTATATCCCACAACAATGCCATCAGAGCACTTTTTAATGGGGTTGCTAGTGTTAATGACAAAGAACATGCATGAAACTCAAGAGCCCTGCAACAAAAGTTAGAAAATGAGGCAATTAAGGTAATTATCCTGATGTGAATCAAGTTGATTGGAGAAAGAGTTCCCTATAAAACATTAGAGAAAATGCTAGAAATGCAGAACAATGGTAGTTGCAGATTGGTGCCCTCCAAGAACACATTCACCTTGCTTTCCTTTTATTTCTGCGGGGATTTGTCTTGAATTATGGGGATGTGGAATTACATGAGGTCTTCAGGAATGCTCTCCTCTCACAGAATGCAACCGCCTGTTCTTGAGGCCTCTGACCTCACTCTTTTCGGCCTCCCCCCATGCTGGGGGGATTCAGCTCTGCCTCTGCACTACACTAACCCTCCCCACGTCTGGGTCTGACTCCAGAAGGCAATACAAAGATTGCTACACTTGAAGCCAGCACTACTGAGTGGGAAAGAACACTATTCTAGTATTCAAGACGGATGAATTTTCACTGTACCATTTTGGAAAATAACTGAAACTTTGTTTTTTTTTAAGTATTTTTTTTCATTTTTCTTTATTTATGATAGTCACACACACACAGAGAGAGAGAGAGAGAGAGGCAGAGACACAGGCAGAGGGAGAAGCAGGCTCCATGCCCCGGGAGCCCGACGTGGGATTCGATCCCGGGTCTCCAGGATCGCGCCCTGGGCCAAAGGCAGGTGCTAAACCGCTGCGCCCCCCAGGGATCCCTGAAACTTTGAATGTTCAACTTTGAGTTTCAAAAGCTCCTCCCATAAACTATCATTCTATAAGCCAAAGTGGAGGCCAGTGATGGAGATTTCAAGCTGTGTGGGAGGGAGCAGGGAGCCCCCAGCAGGGCAGCTGGGAACACTCTGGAGGTTCAGTCATAAAGTTCCTCCAAAACCACACCTAGCCCGCCAGCATGCTCCTTTTTTAAAAAATTCAATTAGGCCACCAGTGTGTTCTTGCGATCCTCCTGGCACACAGCGGACCTCAATACCTAAGAGAAGAATATCTTTATACGTGCCTGTGTGTGCAAAGTTCTAGGCAAAAAATGTTATTTCCAACCTTGGTTTCATGTGTCCATGTTTATCCTCAAGTCAAGGATTAACTGCATTTTCAATTTCACTAAATTTTTATCTCTTACTGAACAAGCAATTGTTTGTGTAACCTGGATGCTCTTCCAAGAGTACATTCTGGTTCCCCCATAAAATATATGGTGGATTCCTTCCCTTTGTAGAGCAAAGCCAAAGCCAAATGCAGCATTCCACTGATAAGCTCATCCCAAATTTCAATTTGCTGGCTGAGAATGTCACTTTCTTAGGCATGTTCCATTTCCTCTTTGTTTCTATGGCAGGTAGTTTTCTTTTCAGGGCCATCTTTCACAAAGAAACAGACGTGACCCTTTTTATAAGACATGTCTGCTGTACAGCAGTGCTAAGAGCGGCAAGCCAGTCGAGCTGTGGGTGTTGACACCCCACCTCAAGTCACTCATTAGCTCCAGGGCCCACTCTTTCATGCCAGGCCCCAAGCATGTGATTCCGAATCATGCCCAAGGAGATTTCTCAGGAGAGCCGTGAATGTTTCTCTTGGCCTGTGTACTAGCTGTCAATGTCAAGGATCTGCCCCTGATTCTTCGGGCTGGAGCCAACAGCTGAGGAAGATAAGCTGTGGTTTGCATGGAACACAGTACTATTAATTCAGCCTTCGGAAGAGTGGCTCTGAGTGATCCCCCCACCCTGGTGACAGACTTGGCTCCTCCACAGCCCCCCAATCTCCACAAGTCAATGGTACAAGCCTGGAAGATGTTGGGCCCAGGAGAGAGTCTCGGCCAGCAGTAGGGGTCTGATCTTCCTCAGCCCTGTGAAGTCGACGTGGCAAAAAAGAATGTGGCCTATAGGAGGGGCCTTCCCTCCCTCCACACTCCAGGCAAGGGAGTGAACCAGCATGTAAAGGATTGCCACAGTCACCCCGATATTTTCCTCAGAATGAGGACAGAACTGGGTGAAGACGAGGTGCCTGGGCAGGCCCGAGCGCCTACTTCGGCCAAGTCTGGTAGGAGTGCCGCGTGCCTCAGAGTTCAGGAGGCCACCAGCACTGCTTCTGGATGGGGCAAGGCACGGCCCATAGGCGCGACTTCTGTCACCGTGGTGATTCCTAGCTGGTGTCCATGCTGGTGGGCTGTACTGGGCACTGGACACGTCGACTGTCAGCCTCGCTTCAAGGCTGTGTTCACATCGTGGACTAAACAACAGGCACACCTGAGCTCTGAGGCACTAGTGTGGGAGCTTTTCCTCTTCCCTCATCACCTGAAAGGTGGCAAGAGCCCATGAAGAGGTGCTCCAAGTCCGCATTGGGTGCAGCCTTGCCACAGAAGCCCCTCCACAGAGCTGTGGGTAGAATGGTGGTGTCCCATCTGCAAAGCCATACTGAGAGGGTCAACGGGCTTGGAAAAGTCAAAGGGGCCACCAGGAGGTGACGATGGGATCCATAGGCCTAACCCCCGGATGTGGCAAGAATGGATGACGCATCTGCAGCTCATACAGAGGCCCCCTCACCTGGACAGTCTTCCTCACTCACCTGCTTGCCCCTTTCGGTTCTGTCGACATGATCATAGTCGCATATGGCAAACGCCACTAAGTAAGTTGGCATGGGGGGCGTGGTGGAAAAGGTGGTAATGGTCCACATGCTTCCATTCACATCTCTCTTGGTAGACTGACCTACAGAAATTGGTGTTATTCCAAATCACTGTAAACCAAAGCAGGAATAGAGCTACCTTTGAAGTGACATGTCAGGGCAACTGTCACCCAGCTACTTCCTCCCAGCCAGCCCCTAGAGTTTCCCAGTTTGGATTTCTCTATCTCCAACTTATCAAAACCACATTAAATGAAATAAGTCAGAGAAAGATGGCTACCATATGATTTCACTGATGGGTGAAATCGGAAAGGCAAAACACATGAACAAAACAAATAAAGAAAGAAACTGGAAACAGATGCATAAATGCAGAGAATAAAATGGTAGTTGCCAGTGGGGAGGGGGCCAGGAGGGTGGGCAAGAGATGTGAAAGAGATTAACAGCTGCAAACTTCTCGTTATAAAATCAATGCCATGCAGGGGCGCCTAGGTACCTCAGTCCGTTGAGTGTCTGACTCTTGGTTGCAGCTCAGGTCATGATCTCAGGGTTGTGGGATCCAGCCCCACCTTGGGCTCTATGCTCAGCAGGGAGCCTGCTTGAGATTCTCTCTCTGCCCCTGCCCTGCCCCTCTCCCTGGGAGCGTGCTCTCTCTCTCTCTAAATAAATAATCTTAAAAAAAAAATCAATGCCATGGGGATAGCATGTATGGCATAGAGAAGACTGTCATTAAGAGTCCTAATTTGGGGGGCGCCTGGGTGGCTCAGTCAGTTAAACATCTGCCTTCAGCTCAGGTCATGATCCCAGGGTCCTGGGATTGAGTCCCACAGCCAGCTCCCTGCTCAGTGGGGAGCCTGCTTCTCATTCTCCCTCTGCTCTTTCCCTACTCAACCCCCCATTTGTGCTCTTTCTCTCTCAAATAATAAATAAAATCTTTTTTAAAAAAGATTTAACTTAACTTCATATGGTGAAAGATGGTGACCACACTTACCACGGTGAGCACTATGTGATGTTACATAATTGTCGAATCACTATGACGTACATCTGAAACTAACATAATCTTGAATGTCAGCTATACTTCAGTTAAAAACAAACAAACAGCATTAGGAAGATCTAAGGACAGCATCTTTGCTTGGAATCAGTATCTTGAATAATAGCTGATGGAGGGTCAAATCCATGGGCACTCTGAGGCCCACAACCCACCTCTTCTCTTTTCCATCTCCTGCTACTGTTTCCTGGACCAGTCCACCTCTCACAACTTCATCTAGAGCCTCCCAGGCCCACAGTAGGTCAAGGAAGTGCAATTTAGCCACTGTCAGGTTTTAGTGAAGTCTTCAGGGGAGGCAGGCTAGGTCTTTAAAGCTGAAGGCTGGGCATTTGACGTGAATTGGACTGGCATATATTAACAGGGAGTGGTGGGACCACAGCAGACCCAGGTGGTGGGGTGGGTGGGTGGGGAGATGTCTGCAGGGGGCACCCTATAATGACTGTAACTACTGCAGTCACGAAGGAGCTGCATGCCCCGTGTTGTTAGATCTTCTAAGTTTACAAGGAAATAAAAATCATGATTTTTATGAGAAATCTCTGGATTTTAATAAGCTCAATCAGAAGGGAAAAAAAAATCATGTGAGCCAAATGAAACACATCTGTCCACCAGATCCAGACTAGGTCTGCTAGCTTGTTATCACTAATGATCAATAGTGAAGGCCAAACTAGTGGGCAGACAGGCTGCCAAGGGATAAGAACAACGTGATGTCCCCGGCTTCCAATGCAAAAAGAATCAGGATTTGCCATCTCCGAGATGCTGGTGCTGATACAGACCCCATGTGACTGTTCTAATTAAAATATATTGCCAACTCATTGCCTAGAAAAGCTATTAATATCAAAGCTATTACAGAGCTAAATACATACGCATATGCGCACATGCATATAATTAATATACACATATATGGTGACAGGAAATATTACTTACCTAGTTTTGGCATATTAGAAAGGGCCACATAGCTTGGGTGATGAATAATTGTAATATTAAAAGTTGCCTTTAGAGCTGGCTCATCAAAACAAGGAAAAACACTTCTGGCAAATGTTGGTTCCATCTGAGATGCTAACAGGGCCCTGCAATACATTTTTTGGGGAAAAAATCGATTTATTTTTATTTCAAATTGGTGGAAACAAAAAAAAATATTGAGATGATGGCTTATAATTACATTCAGGAAGGAGCTAGAGTACTTCCCCTCATCTCTCTCACTGCCCTTCCAGTTAAAACACACACATTCCAATTCTCACCACACCTTGGAATTCTTGTAAGACCTTAAATACAAAAGACCCATTTAATTTTTGACCACAAAATACTATTTACTTCATTACATCATATGCCTTTAAAACCTTCTGCAAACAAAAGAGGAACAAATATAGCAAATATGCAATAACAGGCTTTTGTGAACCAAGTATTTTTTGAACTAGGATTACTTTTTGGGGAATGGATTATTTCTTTCATCCTCCACTGAACTGCAAGCAATGTCTGCTGAATAATGGCTTTTTCTCACACGTTCCCTCTTCTTTCTGGTTGAAAACTTAGAAAAAGTTTTATTCTACACACTTGGCGGGTGGTGGTGGTAAACAATCTAGGTTCATGCCAAATAAACCAAACAACTTTTATTTACACATGGGTAGATTTATCAAATCGCTATTGCTTCTCCCTCCACCTCCATGGAAAAATACAAAAAGTGACATTATCCCATGGTGCACTGGTGATTTATGGGGAAAAGTTTAGAGACAAGAGTGCCCTGGGCAAGCAAGGAGATTATCAGGTTTATCCTCTGTAAACACAGCCTAAATCTGACAGGAGGTGGGTCCTAGCTAACAACTTTCTTTTCAAAATAAACCTGTGGTCTCACTAAGAGTTGGAGACCTGGGACCCTGTTTTAGGATGACAATTGTGGATGCTAATTCTTTTTGTTCCCCTAAAGTCCTGAGACCTAGCATCCCTGATGCATTTACTCTTGGTTCAGGCCCAGCTCTTAGATAAATAGCAGGGGAAGTGAACAGGATGTGAGGGAGTATGGCCCCTCCATTACCATCACCCACTTCCGGGATCCCACCCCTGGGATTCCTCCTCCATCATGGTAGGATCCCCACTCTCACGAAAATCCACACACAGCCATTGGCATGCTCAAAAGCCTCTCAGAGTCAGCCAACCTGATGTGTTCGTAAACTTGCTGTGACAAAACTCATTCTCAACAGGCCGGTTTTGCCCTATATGCTTCTTCCCACTTAACCTTGCTCTCAGTTGCACGGACTGGAAGGCAGCTCATGAACTCTGACCTCAGCCACCTTGGCTGCAAGACTGTGCTCCATCTCCTGCTAACTGAGCAATCCTGACCAGGTCACATGTTCTTGCTGAGCCTCAGATTCCTCACCCAGAGAGTAATGGCACTTAATCAACCTTTTATTGCTACTTGAACTTTCCCATTATTAGTAACCAAATTTATCAATAAACAACCTTTGAATTCTCCTATATTCCTTTAACTCCTGCAGATTGCTCTTCATAGGGATGAACTGTAGAAGAATTCAGGGAGGGGTAAGTTCCAGGGTAGGGGTTGAGGGTTGGAACATCACCAATTACAGATGCATTTAGACATGTCTCAGAGGTCACAGTTGACCACAAGCTGCATACGAACCACATTTGTCTTCCTAATAAAGTTCAAACTACCAGGAGTTAGGGGTTACATCTTTTCTCTTCAATACCATTTATAATATTTGGCAAAAACATGGGTTCGTGGCAGTTGAGTAAGTATTTTCTCAGCTTTGGAGGTACTATAAAATAAAGGCAGCTTGATTTAATGTATTTAAGAGAATACGAAGTATTTTTACAATATCTGTTGCACTGGCATTTGTTTTATAGTATTGGTTGCTGTCTTTAAAAGAACAGTGATAAAATAGAGAGGAGTCAAATAATTGACAATACACTGGAAAGAATACTGAGCAGGGAATTCACGACCTGTGTTTTTGCTCAGGATCTGCTGTGTTAACACAGTGATGTCACTGGGGAAGGTTTCCTGAAACTCTGGATATCCATTCCTATAAAATACAGAGATGGAACCAGATGATTTCCAAGTCCACTTAAACATCCAAAACTAATTCTAAAAGGGATAAAGACATCCAACAGAATGGAAAAAGGAGCCACCTAGACTGAATTGTCTAGGATTAGGAGAAACAGCCCTTCGGAAGCTCATGCTTGGCCTCCACGAGGTCCATGAGACCTCTGAAATTGTAGGACATGCTGTACAAATGGTAATATATTAGCATGAAAGAGTATAACGCAGAGTGAAATAGCACATCCAGCCTTATAAAACACGTTTACATATTTGGAAAGCCACCCCATCGCTCTCGTGTCTGTCATAGAAACTATTGAAAGTAAAGTTGGGAACATCTCCACTGTCACGACTTCACAAAGCATATGAATCTCAAGGACACTGCAAGGTGAGAAGGAGAGAAAATCAGACTTTTCAGGGAAGTGGGAAAGTTTTATGCTCATCAAAAGGGGCTACTCTACCTCTGAAATGAAGAACACGCTATGTGTTAACTAATTGATTTTAAATTAAAAAGAAGTGGGGTGGTGGCTACAGTTTCAAAAAGGCTCAGAGACACCAGCTCAGAGTCACCACTTTAACAAACCAAATATCAAGCAAGTGCCTTCCCAGGCCATGATTCAGGCCCCTAGAGAAGTGAAATAAAAGAAACTCTTGGATTTTACTCAACTATTTCCCTCCCTGGTTTTATACAAACAAACAAAAAGGGAAAAATCTCTATAACACACAGCCTTCCTGGCTCACAGTCTTAACTACCAAGGTCAGGGCCAGCCAGCAGCATACACGATCTGGTTATGCCACATCTGGGAACTGAAGGCTGGTACTTATTTCCCTTCTCTCTCGGCTTTGGACTCAAGCAACCCTGTAAGGCTATCCTGACCTCAGAAAATAGAACCATCCACCCTCTCCTCCCCTCAAACCTCACTGAAACATACTATTATGGTGCCTGTGAAGTCTGGGTTTAGAGCAGTCAGCTGGTGAGGGAGTTAATTTGGGAGAATATGTCTTGTAGTGGCTCAGTATTGCAAAGCCACTTTCTTGCCCTCTTGTACAGCCAGATGATGATAGACTCGCCACATTTTTGTGCCAGAAGAGGCCTGAGGGGCCAAGGCCATGTGATGTCCTTGGGGATCCATCTCCTGCCACATAAAAAATATCCCCTCACTAGGTTATTGCATCCCGAATTGCTGTATGAACTCCGTATGCCTATAGCTCTTGCTAACAAGTGCTTAATAACACAACTGGCCAAGGGTTAAGTAAGACCTGAGAGTTGTCCCCTCAAGTTGTTTTTACATGACACACTCAGAAATCAAAATGTTTAGTAAAAATGGATGTTACACCACTGGTCTGTGGTTCAAGGCTTGGCCTATGAATCATGTTTGTTTATTACTTGTGTAATAGGATCTTAAAACTGAAGTTTCCACCAGGCAACAAAACACAATAGATGTACAATTTCAGAGGAAGGTGCCAAACCACGTTATGAAGATTTTTGAAGTAGATGGCCTCAAGAACCTGCAGACTTTTCAGCTCCAACAAGAGATATATGAAAAGGGGCGCCTGAGTGGCTCAGTTGGTTAAGTGTCTGCCTTCAGCTCAGGTCATGATCCCAGGGTACTAGGATCCACCCCTTTCCCCCCTTTCATGTCTGGCTTCCTGATCAGCAGGGAGTCTGCTTCTCCCTTTCCCTCTCTCCCTTCCCCCTCTGCTTGTGCTCACCCTTTCTCTCTCTCTCTTTCTCTCAAATAAATAAAATATTTTTTAAAAATGGTATATGGAAGGAAGGTCAGGGAATGGAGATGAGAAGAGGGATATCTCAGAGGGGAGTGGTGTAGTTTAGCAAAGCCCCCTGATCTCAGGGGTGCTGGAAGGAGGGCAACCCCTGACCAAGGTGAGCCAGAGGGGGTGAAGATCCCTCCGAAAGCAGAAGTGTTTCCTGAGACTGAGAGACTTAGAGGCTGGCACCCAGCTTCCTGTTGAGGAAACTGCAACTGACACTGGTGGGAGTCTAATTCCTACCAGGTAGGAATCTGAAAGGCAGGAGAGCTGATGGCTTCAGAGCAGTATCAGAGGAAGAGTGCTATAGCCTTGGGACCCACAGCAGCCCTAGGTCAGGGATGTATGAGTGTTCCTTGGACGAGCTGTGGGCCCTGAGGCACATAGTGAGCCATATGGGGACTGATTTGGGTTCTGTCCAAGAGGGCCACCTGCAGGAAGCTGCAGATGGTCTACTGCATGTCCGGGGGCTGAAGAAGGAGTCACTAACGACCATTGGAATAGAGACATAGAGGAAGCAGGCTTGCAGGGTCAAGGAAATTGTAAGAGAAAGAGAAGCAGTGAGAAAATGACATCTCAAGGGAAAAATGGCAAGAGCAGTGGCTTAGGCAAGAGCTGCCCTACGTGGCACCTCTCCCTGTCTCCCTCAGCCCCGCCGGACCTGGTGGTGGAAGGGGGGTGTTGACTAGAACCATGAGGTGGACAAATGGAAGCACCACTGTCCTTTCCCTTGCTGCAGACTGCTAACCTGAAGCTCACCCGGCTTGGGGAAGTGAGCTTGCAGGAAGAACTAGGGAGATTTAACAGCAATTAAGTTCAAGGCATTTAGCATGACACAGGACTGGATTCTCTAATTTTTGCATCAGGACAGTGTTTGTGACTTAGTGGACATAGATCATCTGTCACCTAAGAATGAGCAGTAAATTATGGGCTGCTAGAGTATTTATGCAGAAGCAGGAAAGATGATCTCAGAAACTAAATTGTAGAAGGACAGTGGAAGAAACGCAGTTGCACTTTTACTCAACTATGAGGTGTGCTTTTTCAATAGGCTAGTACACTTGTTTTCAAAAGATACAGGATTGAAATCTTTGATGAGCAAGACCACCCCCTAGAAAAGATGGCTCAGCCACATGAAACATATGGGTTTGACACCCCTATAGGATAATGAAATGGCCTCTTTTCTTAGTGACACCAATGACATCATGTACTTGGCATTTGAGGTCACTGACTTTGTTTTGATATTTCTAAATT